GGGCGCAGATTTAATTCTACATTGTATAAACACAAAAAAGTAAATAACCCACGTTGGGTAAAGATAACGGTTTATGCAACATTTTTAAAGATGTGAATTGTGATGTGAAATCACCAACAAGTTGGCACATTTAAAAAGAGTCCAAGTTGACACACCAATGAATATCAGACACTTTCTTGACTCGTAATATTGCTTACTTTAGACAGAGCTATAGTTTGGGCCTAGTTAAATGGGTCGGCCCGAGGCTAGACACTTTTAAGCTGGGCCTAGCCCAGCTTTTAATTTTTTTGGGCTTAGGGTCGAGGTGAGTTGACCCTTGATCCAAATATTATATTTTTATTTTATTTTTGAAAGTGTCTTATAAAAATCCGGTCCGGCTCTAAATTTTTTGGGCTCAAGGCCGGACTGGACCGACATTCTCTCTTTTAGAGCCAGCTCGGCTTGGCGCGAAATCTCTTTTCGGGCCGAACGGCCTAAATTTACACCTCTACTTCGGGATAATGTTATTAATCAATTTTTCCCAAACAAATATCACATGTTGCTTAATCAGCAGTATTGATGCGACCTTGCTATTAGATATGTAGCATTTTATATCTAGTCTTTGGAATCATTTAGATGATGTTTAGTATATGGTTTTTGCTATAGTGCAAATACATGGTTTTAGTTAGGCAAATCCTCTCCAAAATGGGCATTCGACATACGTAATGGCGGAGTAAGGAGAAGGAAGTTGGAATCAACAGAGTTTAATGATAGGACAACTGCTCCAATACATAATCAAGAAGTCTGATTTTAATTTTGATTTGAACCCATATACCAAACAGGCTCTTAGATGGCAGAGAAGTTTTTAGTATGGAATCAAAATATACTTTACCAATGATGTGATAATATTGTGATATATTTTTACCGCCCTAACACATATGGAAAATAAGTATTAAAAGTTTACCGAAACTTGATGAATATCATACTACTCGAACTTATACATTACCTGTAAGATATTCTTCTATACCTTATAACAAATTGGGAACTTCTCCAGTATGTCAATATACCGATAGATCAAGTTTTCTATCTGTTAGATCCGCATAAAATCGCGTAATAATCAAAAAATACGTAGATTTAACGGTTAAAAACCTGGCCTACCAGTAGATCAGGCGTAGCGGAGAATCTCTAACAAATTACCCCTAAATTTGATATCTTTTTTTATATTTTTTATTTGGCAACATTTATTGGGTCCTTGGTGGGCTTCTGGCTTCTGCGCTAAACTGTTTCTTTACTGGAGTTCACATCAGGTCATCTATAAGACTACTGAAGTAATGGACCTCCTCCACGGCCCACTGTTAGGCCGAGATCCAGTCTGCTGTCATTACGATAACGACATGCCGCTTGCCAGAAAAACGACATGCCACTTTTGTAGCAAAGTTTTCTGTCGTTTTACGTTTTAAGCAACATTTATTTTCTTGCCTAAGCTTAAAAGACATAAGGTAACTATTTTTCCTGTCGTTTATCATGTGGAAAACGGCATGTCATCTTTATTCACAATTTGAAGTTTGTTTATGTTTAAACTTTAAACAACATACCGTTAGTCGTTTAACATTTTGTCGTTATCATGGTGGAATGGAACAAATAGTGTCTTTTTTTTTTTTCTAGACCAACTATTCTTTGTATTTAAGACCATATCGTTTCTAGTTTACCCAGTTCTGTCGTTTGTCACAATTGAATACGACACGCCATTTATCTTTCCTTAAATTTTGAACAACATGTACTCGTTCAAAAGCGACAACAATAGTCAAAAGACTCAAAACTAATATTACAAGGAAAACGACAATGATCCAAAAAACGACACCAACGTGAAAAAAGACTTAAACATGAAAAGTAACGATGCATGGAAACGTTGGAACAGTTAAGAATCGACATCACATGGAAAACAACAATAACCATGAAACGACATTGAATAGGATACGACAGTTAACAGCAAAATCAGAAAAATCAACATCACATAAAAACGATATCGATAACGAAAAACTACATACAAAGGGGGAAAAATGAATCACATGGCAAACAATATTTCGTGCAAATAACAGTAACCATAAAAACGCCGGTGACTATTGAGAACAAACTAACGTGGAAAAAATGATGTAACATGATAAACTGAATGAATAAAAAGGACGGAATCATGAAAACGACATCAAACTGTCAAGTGCAAATAAGTACGAGAACGACATCAATGGAAAATGATAATAACCATGAAGACAATGTCATATTTGGTAAATGACATCTCCCAGAACATCGATATGAATCTGGATAAAGAACATCATGGGAAAATAACAATAAATAAAATACGACACGTATGGACCATGAAAAAAGAAGAACATCAAATTAACAAAGCAGAAATAACTAAATAAAAAACCATATCCCACGGAAAAGGACAACGAAGAAAAAACGACAACAATAAACAGAAAAGGAAGGGTATCAAATAATAATTCCGAGCAGAAGAATGACAGTTAACTTGAAAGAGGAAAATGACTGTACGGCGAAAACCATAATGATTTTGAAGCCAGGGTAATTAGGGAAACGACTACAAGTAATGGACCTCCTCCATAGTCCACTGATAGTTTAGACTTTAGAACTAGAGTTGTTCTTAGACTTTAGAACTAGAGTTGTTCATCGATTGGGTTGGTGCGGGGTAAAATTTTTTTCTCTTCCACCTTAAAAGGTGTGGGTTGCATATATTTAGCCCGAACGATGTTAGAAAAATTTCACAACTCAATGATGTTTCGGTTAGGTTGAGACGGTGCAGGATGGGTTGAGTGGTCGGTTTCAACATTCAAAGACTCAAAGTTCAATCCAACATTCAAAGTTCATCATCAAATAGAAGTAATAACTCCAACATTCAAACATATAAAAATTTAAAATTCAATCCAACATCAAACATGAAGAAAAATAGTCCATCAAACATCAAATATAAGGCAAACATAAATTAATCTACACTCATAAATTAGTCTTAACATAAAATAAAGCAAACATAGAGGCTTAATTCAAACATGAAGAAACTAGAGAGTAAAAATGAGTTGTCTGCCTAGGGTTAGATATTAGAAGAGGCAAGTTAGAGCGCGAGTTGGGTTAGGGTGTGCGGGCCATTATAGGCTCAACCCACACCCCGTCCTAAAACTTCGGGTCAGATATTGAATGGGCCGAGAAAAAAATTTAATACTAGAAATTATATTTTTTTAGTTAAGTTGGGATGGGGTGAGTTGGGCATGCGGGTTTTACGGGTTACAACCCTACTTAGAACCAACACAAACGACAAGCCGCTTATATTGCAAAGTTTTTAATCGTATTATTTTTCATCCAACATGTCGTTCTGGTCTAACTTTTTTCCGCCGCTTATCAACGGAAACTAAAATAAAATACCGGTAAAATGTCGTGCCTCTTAAAAAATTTCCTCTGATTTAAGATTAAAAGGGCATACCAATTATAAGTTAACTTTTTTCCTTGTCGTTTATCATGATTGAATGCGGCATGTTCTCTTTCTTCAAAAGTCGGCAACTCATCCTTCTTCGGAATTTGAAGTTTCTGTAAGTTTAATAACATATCGTTTGCGGTTTAATTTTTTTTTTCTGTCGTTTCTCATGATGGGACAAAGTCGTTTTCTTCAAATTATGCTTTTTCTTTTAAGTTTAGGATCACGTCGTTTCTAGTTTAACCACTTTCTGTCGTTTATCATGATTCAGTACGACATGCGTTTTTCTTCAAATTTTGTGTTGTCTAATTTTAAAGAACGTGCGTGTAATACGTGGAAAACGACAATGTTGTAAAAAGCCAGACTAACATAAAAAGCAAGATGACATGTAAAACAACGATGCCTATAAACACGACTTGAGAAAAAGAAAATTATGTCACATGGAAGAGAACATTGAACCGTAAACGACAGTGACCAGGGAAAGGATAAATATGATGTCTTGTAAAAGATAAAAAAGAAAAAAGAGGAATTATGAAAAACGACATCAAGCCTCCAAGAGGAATAAGTATAAGATGAAGAAGGAACAATGAGAAAAAAATGTCGGGAATCATGGAGACGATATTATTTTGCCAAGCGGAAACAAATAAAAAAAACATGAAAAACGACATCAAATTACAAAGTGGAAACAATCAAGAAAACGACACTAATGTAAAGCGATAATAACCTTAAAACAAATAGAGATGGTATTAATCCCGGGATGGGAGACATTAATAGGAGAGTGATTGATAATTGGGGAATGATTATCAAATTGTTCCCATTTTCCAGAGCAACGAAACACAATTATGTAAGTTTTCTATTACTAAAAGGTTAAAAAAAAATCATCACATTGAAAACTACAATGAATAAAAACGGCAGGAATATGATTTGATTAATTGTAAATTTAAGTAGGACCATTAATGTCACTCATATTTTAATATAAAAAAATAAATAAATATGAAATTAATTCTTATTTTTTAATTCTAATGAGTCAACATGACTTAGTACCGGTATTACAGTCCATGTCACACGGAGAGAGAATTCTTAAGATTCGTTTAGTTCTTTAATTTAAATTTTTAATTTAAATTGAGATATAATTTTATGTGAAAATTTTTTACTATAACAAAAAAATTAATTTGATTATTTTTAAGAATTTTTTATTATAATAAAACTCAAATTTTAAACTCGAATCAATAAAATAAACTGAAGCCCCGTTCACTTCGCTGATTCGAGTTTAGAATTCGAGTTGAAATGTGATTTTATGTGAGAGCTTTTTACTGTAGCAAAAAAATTAGATGTGATTGTTTGTGAGAGCTTTTTACTGTAAAAAAACTCGAATTCTAAACTCGAATCAGCGAAGTGAACGAGCCTGAGCCTTAATTATTTTATTAGACATAAATCCATGTACTAATCCACAGAATATTAAAAAGTCGTGTGACACGTCAGATGGGTATAGATGCTGCTGTGTCACTCACTGTCAGCATCCATATCCAGACGAAGATGCTCTAATCGTGCTTCTCGGAGTTTGCGTTGCGTGTCCAAACTCCTTTTTTTAAGCAAAACAAAACAACTGCAAGTCTGCAACAACAATGGCGGACCATCCCACACACACGTGATTCCTCCTCTTCTCTCTCGCTCGATCCTTGACTAAGTGCTCTACTGAGCTTACCATGTCCGAATTCGAACTGTTTCTCTGAAATTCCCCAACCAATTCAAGAGTACAACACCCGATCATGATGGCTCGGAGGGTCTGGCAGAAGTTCGCCGGCGCCTCCTTCCGCCGCCGTCTGTCTCCAACTCATGCGTGCGCCTCAAGAGCTCCGGCGATATTACCGGCGATGGAGGTTTATGAGGAGAAGTGCCGTCCGTTTCTACCGTTCTGTTCCCAGCCCCGTTTTCATGGAACCGCTTCGGCGTCGTTTCGCATCTCCGGTTACTGCTCCGAGGTGAGTTTTGTCTCCTTTTCTGTTCAAGGGCTTAAAGTTTTGTTTAATTTTTTCAGTTTGGTGATCGTTGAGAGTTCGTCAATGTTTTGATTGGCTCTGGTGCGAATTTTATAGTGCGATAACCGGATTGCTTTTTTGTTTGATTCGCTTCAATAGAGGAACACAAAAGCAAAAACAAAAACAAAGGGAAAAGAATTATTTTTTAGTTCCTAAAATGTTAATTAGTGGCTGTTTAAATAGCTGAAGAAATGAACAAATAATTTTAATTCCCAAACGAGTTTTGAAGGATTATATAACAAAGACACTAATAAAGCAGAGTTGTATTAGAAGTTCTTTGGGATTTTTGTTGGCTTAATTGTTATAAAGGGATTAAAAAGTTAATAGTCTTCATATCTGCTTTTCAACATTTGCAGCCCAGGATTTCACATTTTGTGAAGAGATGTTGCTATTCCAGTCATGCCGTGGCTGATCTTCCAGAAGGCGGTGGTGTTGTTGATGTACCACTGGCACAGACCGGCGAGGGCATTGCGGAGTGTGAGCTCCTCAAATGGTTTGTGCAAGAGGTTAGTGATCATGGTGATTTTCTACTTATTATTAATGTCAATTTCCTATTTGTTAGTCCATGTAATAATTCAAATTTGTTGAAATTAGGAAGGATGTTGTCTCTCATTGTTGGTTTGTTCTCTTTTCGGACCGATAGTGCTCTTTTCTCTCTATATATTTAGTCAAATCATGCATTGTGTTTGCTATGGTTGTGATGATATGAACGAAGATACTCTGGCTAGATAGACGTGACTTGAGTATTGACTGTGGCAATGAGAAATTTTTGCAAAAAAAAAAAAAAATCTAATCAGAAAAGCTTGGGATCTCTCCACAAGTTTTACATTTGTTTCAGCCTAAGAAATTTACTTTGCAATGGTTGGGAGTACCCTTAGCTTCTCTTATTAGTACAGTAGACTTTTCTGTTTAATTGTCCCATCTTAGCTGTATACAGTCATTCTCAGCTTTCTGATTAATTTGTCCATTTCGACGATGCACGTTTCTAGTGACATATACTTGTGTAAGAGCCTAAGAGGCTACTGGTTTTCTTGGGAATTTGACAGCAGAAGAGAGTTACATTATTGTTTTTTTGCAGGGGGAGAATGTTGACGAATTTCAACCACTTTGTGAAGTTCAGAGTGACAAAGCGACCATTGAAATAACGAGTCGTTACAAAGGAAAAGTTGCTCGGATTTTTTATGTTCCCGGTGATATTGTAAAGGTGAGTGTATAATCGCTTGCCCTGGGAAGATGAATAGATACTAGTTTTCATAAAAGGATTTATGTGTATGATTTAACTTGATGCACCCACTCTACTTGAGTCATTTTTAGCTTCTATAGACTTATTTTCCTCTTTAAGCTCAAACGAAATTTAAATTAAATTGCAGGTTGGAGAAACGCTTTTAAAAATGGCCGTTGAGGAATTTCAAGTTCAAACGCATTCTGGCAAGGATTTTGAAAGTATTGAGGCAACAGACACTGATAAAAAAGAACATAACGCCGACGGAGTTTTATCAACTCCTGCTGTTAGGGGTCTTGCAAAGCAATATGGCGTCAACATAAATGATGTTCTTGGAACTGGAAAAGGTGGGAGAGTATTAAAAGACGATCTCCTCAAGTATGCTGTAGAGAAGGGCATCTTGGAGGATTCTTCTTCCTCTTCTTGTGCAGATTGTGAGCACGTTTTGGGTGGACATGAGAGTTATGTGCATGCCTCAGCTGGAGTTGGACAGAATTATGAGGATCAGACAGTTTCTTTGAGGTAATGTTGTATGCAAATATGTGGTTTGAACTTTTAACACCATTCTGTGATTTTAGAATATGAATGTTATTGGTCTATTTGAGAAGGAATTTAAGCTATCCCAAGTTACTTACCTTTTATTCTTTCAGGGGATTCCAGCGTAAAATGGTTCAATCTATGAGCTTGGCTGCAAAAGTTCCACATTTTCACTACGTTGAAGATATAAACTGCGATGCACTTGTGGAGCTTAAAGGAGCTTTCCAACACAATAATTCCGACCCAAATGTCAAGCACACTTTCCTTCCAGTCTTGATAAAGTCACTTTCAGTGGCCCTGAGTAAATTTCCCTCAATGAATAGTTGCTTCAATGAGGAATCACTTGAGGTCGTTCTTAAAGGCAAGTACTCATTCATTTGTACCCAATCCATGAAATAATTTGATGATGCAATTGGTTTTTTTTTTCCTTCTTCTTTTTTCGGCTTTCTTACTCTAACCATGTGCATTATTGTTGTAAAATATTATACAGGTTCTCATAATATAGGAGTTGCCATGGCTACGCCATACGGTCTGGTCGTGCCAAACATAAAGAATGTTCAGTCCCTTTCCATTATGGAGGTTGCACTTTTTTATATGCCTTTTCTTTTTTTTGACAATGCATTCTGTGAACATTATGCCTTTTTTTTTATTATTATTATTTAGACATGTATTCTTCTTCTGTGTATTTAGATAACAAAGGAACTTTCAAGGTTGCAAAAACTGGCATCAGATAACAAGCTTAGTCGTGTGGACATATGCGGTGGAACAATTACTTTAAGTAACATTGGAGCAATTGGTGGAAAGTTTGGTTCCCCTCTTCTCAACTTGCCTGAGGTCTCCATTATTGCCCTTGGAAGAATTCAAAAAGTCCCACATTTTGCAGATGATGGAAATGTATACCCAGCATCAATAATGACGGTAAGAATTATTATCTTTTGTCTATGGAGGTTTAAATCCTTAAGTTAAAAAAAAAAAAAAAAAATCCAGATAGATAACTTGCCTAGAATATCCTCTCCAGAACCCACATGCATGATATTCGTGTGCTTCTTTTGCTTTTTTCTTTTTTTCCTTTTTTTTTCCCCTTTTTTTCCTTTTCTTTAAATTTTATTTTTTTCTTTATCAGGTTAATATAGGTGCGGATCATAGAGTACTGGATGGAGCAACAGTTGCAAGATTTTGCTGCGAGTGGAAAAAGTTAATTGAGAAACCGGAATTGCTTATGTTGCACCTAAGATGACTATCCATAACTTGTAAAAATCACTTGTATATGATATCTTATCTAAATGGAAATATAAAGTTAATTGAAATGGAAATCATTGTCGTCCAACAAATCTATGAGCCAAAGAAATACTTTCAGTAGCTGCAACGTCATTTATACTGGAAGTTTGCTGCCTGTTCAATCGCCAAAATGGTTCTTTATTTCTGTCTAAAAAAGGTTTTGCTGTAGTTTAAATTCCTTAAACGACACATTTTTCATAGTTAAGAAGTGTTGGTCCACTAAACGAAATGTATTTCGTTGTCGTTAGGAAATAAACGTCATTCTTCCTTTGGAACTTTCAACCTTTTGATCATTGAACGACAAGTCGTTCATTTAATTTCAAAACTTTGTCGCCTTTTTCGGAGGAACGACATTGCATTTCTTTCCTTTTAATTAAGTAATTGACGACATGCAGCGAGTGGTTTACATACCCTGTCCCTCGTTAAACGTCATGGTATTTAAAAAACGACACTCAGATTTTTTTTTATTGTTCTCGTTTTACTGAACTTTTAATAAAAAACGACACCCAGAGTTTCTTTTATTGTTCTCGTTTTAAAGGACATCTCAGTTTTGCCGTACAATTGTGTGTTCTTCCGTAAATAAAATTAAAACGTCAATTTAGAGGTTCATTGTCGTTTTTTTGTCAAAAGAATACATGCTGCTTAGGGGTGTAAATCGGCCGGGTAGGATCGGGTTGAGCTGAAAAATTGAGCCAATCCGACCAGTGCGGGTTGAGCAAACTTTGGGCCGTGACACTCTCTTAAATCTACAAACCCGCAACCTTTCGGGTGACCTCGGGTAGGGTCGGGTTACTCGGGTTGGTGAAAACCAATTTTAATCTATGACTTCATACCTCTTTTAACAGTCTAAAAGCATAAACAATAAAGATATGAAATAAAATCTTGAGAAGCAAAATAGTCCATATAAAATAAACAGTTTAATCCAGAATAAACAGTCCATATAAAAATAAATAGTCCATATAAATAAAGTCGCAAAATAGGAAATTTAGTTCACTCTAAACTGTTTAATCCAGAATAATAGCACTTTCATTCCCAACTTGCCCCTCATGTGTTACAACAGAATTTGACAAATATTGAGAAGAAAACATAACCAAAAAAAATCATCAGAATCAAGTATAGAACAACAAAATAAACAACAAGGAGATGAAATAAAATTAAGAAAAAATAAGTAAAACGTAAAAAGATTACCTGACTCAATATCTTCATATTCATTAAAGTCTTCCACGTCAATAAGGTTGATGTGCTGACGACTACGCAGCTAATTTTGTGTACAAATCAATGTCTCCACCATCTTGGGGCTCAATGAACTCCTAAAGGGATTGAGGATGCGGCCTCCGGTACTAAAAGCAGATTCTGAGGCTATCGTTGAAACAGGAATAGCAAGAATGTCTCTTGCAACTAGTGAGAGAACCTTGTAATTAGTTGCATTATTCTTCCACCAATCTAAAACATCAAAATTTGACCGAGTTGGATCCTCCATAGAGTCTGTCAAGTATCTGTCCACATCATTTTTGTACTCATTCACATTGTTCTCCTTCATTTTTCTAACAAACTTGCTCCACAAACACTATTTTCCTTCTACTTCTGTTTTTCCCTCCGTTGTACTTGTTGCTCCACAAGTTAGCATTCGGGTCGGGTCGGGCAGGTTGCTCGGGTTCGGGCTCAATTCTTACACCCCTAATGCTGCTTTCCTTCTAGCTTTCGCTTAAACGTTTAACGGACACGTCGGACATAGGTCGTCTCATATACGTTTGTTGTCGTTTATCAGGTGAAACAATATCTGTCCACATCATTTTTGAAGGACATGTCGTTGCTTGTTTGCAAGTATGTTGCCGCTTGAGATCAACACTACTTCTGAGTAAGGTCATTTTCGTAAGTAAACCATATATTATTCTTAGTTGAATGTCTGTCGTCGTTTCCCTAACATAAAAGGACATGTTTTCTTGCTGTTAAAAGATTGAGTCAAACTCTTATTTAAAAATAAAAAAGAAAAGAAAAAAAAAAGATTGAGTCCAACTGCATTCGTTCTAACTGTATAACATTATTGTCGGTTCGTTCTGCAAACGACGTCTCGTTCTTCGTTGGTGGTTTGTTGTCGTATGCTATATGTGATTTTCGCTAACAAAATATGATTCATAGATTTTATTTTTAATAAATTTTGGTATCGTTCATTTCACCGATTTAATTTTTAATTTTAATTTTATTACAGTTAAAAATTATCACAAAAAGTCGCATCTAACTTTTTTTGTTACAGTTAAAAACTCTCACATAAAATCATATCTCAGTTCGAATTAAAAACTCGAATCGACAATTTAAATTCTTACGCATGCAAAATATTAAAAAAAAAAAAAGAAGAAGAAGAAAAGAAACTACTAAAACTATGCCCTTCGGTTAGTGGTATTACAAGTGTGGAGATTTGTTGTCGTTTGGAGGAGACAACAATATCGTACAAAATAACATGTCGTTAAAAAAAAAAAAAAGAAAAAAAAAGTGTTAAAAGGCGGGAGAAAATCCATTTTCTTACAGGCATCGACGGAGATTGTCTTTCTTATTCGCTTCCCGGGGGAGGGAGAGAGAGGTACCGTTTCCAAGCAAACGAAAAAAAAGAAAAAATTAAAAAATTAAAAAAAAAAAGAGGAAAAACGGGGCTGTTGAGATTCTAAAAAAAAAAAAACAAAAACAAAAAAAAAAAAACGGTTACGTTCTTTTTTTCTTTTTTGTATGGTTACTTTCGGTTACGTTTTCACCACTTTGTTCTGTGGAAAACTAACTTCTCGTTGTGAGAGATCACACCCCAATTACTCCCTTGCCCCACTCCCCGCCGGTCATGTCACTGCAAATGGGCTCGCGCATCCTCATCATCTCACTCATGGTCTTGTCGTTGGCGTTCGCCGTCAAACTTTCAACTTCAGGTACGTAGTTCTTCACAAAAACCTCCTTCATTTGTCGTTTTCTTTTCTTCTTTGTCTTTCACAAAGTTTGCAAATCTCTTGGCAGAAGAAGAATCAAAGCCAGAGTTTGCATTTAGTTGGTTGGACGACAAGGACACGTTTAAAGCCGGTGAAATAGCGACCATAAAGATCAAACTACTCAACAACTTCGACAAGCTAGACAAGAATGCTTTTAATCTCACTCTTTCTGTGAACGACAAGACTGGAAATAGCTCTTACGTATCTGGGGTTCTCACAGATGTTCAAGGCAATTCTGATGATTGGAAGATTTTCTTTACCACCATAACAGCCGGCTTATTCAATGTCATGATCAACGAGGATAATCATCAAGTTTTTGATTCTTCACTTCATTTCCAAGTTGAACCAGGTTTGTATATAAATGTTAATATATATATATATTAAATAATGTTATTAGACTATATCTTTATTTATTTATTTATTTATTTATTTTGAAAATGATTATATCTTTATCATGTGACAATTGACATTATAAATTTTTTTTTTTGTTGGTTCTAAAGATACTTGTTATAGATCCTACCATGCTAAATCAAGTAGGTGATAATAATGCTTGGTTGAGTTATGCTTGGAAAATTTTGTGTTTTTCTGTAGTTTAAATTGATTTCTTGTTTTTTTTTTTTTCTTTCTGCATTGTATTTGGATTGAATAAAAGATTTAACCTATAACTCACTCTTCGAAACCGATATTTAATCTAGTCCGATTAGATTGGATAGAATTCGATATCAGAATTTTAAAAAACCGCCCATATAATCAGATTGAATTATATGCTCAATTCTATGCTCACATTGATAAGTGCAGATATTTGGATCTTTCCAATGCATGTATTTTAACCTTGTTTCCTTTATTGAAGGGAGAATTTACCCATCTGTTTGTGTTGCTTCGTGGATGGATTACATCAATGAGTTTGAAGCTGGGACAATTGCTAGACTTGGGATACTTCCAAAAGATGCGTTTGGGAATAATGTCACTTCTTCAAGTACTAGTGAAGACCTGAGTGTTCTTAACTTCACTCTCTCAGCATTATATCCAAATAACGGTTCCATTGCCGGTTTGCTAAACATCACCAGCATTGGTTGGAATGGACTTGGTGGTTATATCAGCGTTGACTTTATTGTGGTCAAAGCTGGAAACTTCTTCTTGCTTGTGCAGGGTCAAAACCAGACCTTGATTGGAAATCCCCTTGCTTTTAAGGTGAATCCAGGTGATGCATCATAAAAACTTTTGATTGTAGAAAATCTTGTTCAAAGGCATTAATTTCGTGATGATGATTCGAACTTCTTCTTTAAAGTCATTTAAGAAGTTTGAAGTGATGGTATTGATGGCTCTTAAATATTGGTGTTTATATACTATAGTGCAATAGATGATAGTAAATGCTTCTTTTTAAGCAATCGCAAATTCGCGTGCTAAATCGGAGACGCGCAAATTATTTCATACGAATCTACACAATATTGTCCTTAATTAGTTAAAAAGCCTCATAATTAGTGTTTTCTTGATATATTCAAGTCGATCTAACGACTGTTTTGGAAATTCATTCTTCTTGACTTTTCATTTGATGGAGCTTAGATTTTCATTTCTTTTTAAGTAATCGATATCATATACTAGGAAAAAGTAGTTTTGTATGCTTACACTCCTAGTATAGTTATTTTGTCATCTTTTTTCTTCTTTTTTTTTTCCTCGTCTTTTGTGAACTTTAGCGTAATATCATGTTGCTTGGTCCGAACCAGGGCCTCTAGAAGTTTCCAATTGCATGGCGAAATGGAACTACGAACCAAATGCGTGGCAATTATTTTCCAAGATGGAGCTCTTCATACACCAGCAAGATGAGTACGGAAATCTGGTTCCAGGACTGTATGAGTTTGACGCTGAAGTAGTTGAAAAAGAGACAAATTTGTCCATACCTGTGCCAGATTTGTACTTTGAGGAAGTAATGCCTGGAATTCAACTCTTTTCATTCAGCAATCTGGAACCAGGAAACTTCTTGCTCAAGATATCTGACAGCAAACACAACAAAAGTATCTCCAACATGCCATATGCTTACGCTGTCTTTGTAGGTCTGTCGTTTCTCTGTTCATTTTTTGTTTACCTTCTAGCAGTGCTACAGGACATCAGTGGTGCTCGAGCCCAGTGTTAAATTCAAATTGCATGTGGGACCCCATGGTGGAGCCTGAATTTTTTTTAATAAGGACACAATATGAAGACGAAAATACAATTTTTTATTTGATAAGGACATAGTTAGAAGTTTCTATTATTAAATTGGACACAATTATAACATCTCTTGAGTCTGTTTGATTCATAAATTAGAATCATTTTCGATTTATATGTATTTTTTATGAGAAAAAATATTATAACAAATTATGAACCATGATTCGAATCAGAGAACAAATCACGGGAAAAGTAACGTAATTGAAACAAAATTTTACAAAAAAGTACTACATTTATAAATTTTTTTAAAATCTGAGTGGGGTACGTGTCTTCATTGAGTTATATGTGGCTTCGCTATTGGTGGGACCAATTTGTGATGGGTTGTGGTTCTAGGCACTACTCACGCCCTTTAGCCTTTTTTGCCGCCTCCTTTTGTACATTTTGAGCTTGTCTTTTTGGTTAATATTGTTGTTTCTTTTCATGTTTGAACATGAATAGGTTATTGCAATGGCTCAAACAGTGTTGTCAATGGATCTGGTTTAAACAACTCCATTGCCGGAGCAATGTCAGAGTTCTCAGTTTATTTGAGAGACAGTTATCAATATTCTTCTCCTGTAGAAGTGGAAAGGCTTCAAGTGCAAATCGTACGCGAAATCGATTCCTATAACATACTTCCAAGAATAACACCTATGCAGTTTATCAATGGTAACATTCAATCTACCAAGAATTTTCTTGTTTCCTTTTGAGTAATGAAAGAAAAAGAAAAAACTTTCATCACTACTAAATAAATCTTTCATCCTTGAATAGATAGTGCAATTTCTGAGAGAGTGAGATTTGAAGCAAATGGAGAAACAGAAGTTGCTCCTTCACCATCTGTGGACCTAACTAATCGTGTAAGAAATGCAATCATAACTTTTTTTTTCTCTTTGGTGTGTGTATTATTTCCCTTTAAGCTTCAGACTTCAAATGCATAAAATACACAATTTATTCATACAGTCTGTTGAAAACTCAAGCCTTCTAGCCACTGCTTTTAATGTCGTTTACACGCCTGACAAGAGTGGGATTTACGGGCTTCATGTATATTGTGGGAATATTCTGCTCAATGATGGTCATCCATATACTAAGGAAGTAATGCCAGGTATAATCCATCTCCAGTCTATCTCTTTTTAGACCAGTTTTGCACAACTTTTGCTTTTGTTGTTAGTCAATAGAAAAAGAGAAGTAAAAGCCGTGACTTTTTAGCAAGTGGTTGGAACTACATTTCTAAAAAGAGCTTAATGGGTTAAAATGATTTTAAAATTTTATAGTAAGCAATAAAAATGTTAAGAACGATCTTTATAATGTCTGATTGAAGCTCTGGTACAAGTTTAGAAGAGCTTTTTTGAGAAATCATACTCTAAAATTCTACCACAAGTTTCATTCACCAATCTCTTGCGGCAGGTGCGGTTAACACATCCCTTTCTGGGGTTGTCAAATTTTCTCCCAAGGTCCCAAAGCTGGTTAAGAATGAAGTAGTAGTGCAGCTTGTGGATTCTTTCAATAACCCTGTCATGTCACAACAAACCAGGCTCAAACTAGAGGTTACTCCAATGAAGAACACTTCAAGTTTTTCAAATTTGCTGTTTGTTGATAACAATGACGGGTCATACATGGGTCATTATGTGGCCGAAGATATTGGGACATATCAAATTTGTGCTTCCTTTGATGACAAACGTCTCTCTCCCTGTCCTTTTGAGGTCAATGTCTATAGCAGTAAGTTAGTCTTGTCTCAAAGCATACCTGAATATTGTCAGATAATTTTTCATTTTGACTTTAGGTGTTTTTTTTTTTTCGTTCATCATTTTTCAGGTGAATATTTTCCTAAAGCCTTCGATGATAAAATATTCGTTTGGGAGGATGAATCGATCGCTTTTGATGCTTTGGCAAATGATTTCTTTGCTGGTGACAATGCAAGTATCCTTGAATTCTCACAAGTAAGCTCTCTGTCAGTTTTTCTTCTCTCTAAAACTGATATTGCAATTCATGCGGTGTTCATACAAGCCTTTAAACATGAACAACTTTTAACATCTTTTTTATGCTAACTTCTATGTTCTGTGAATTGATGATTTAAAATTTTTCATTACTTGGATCAAAATGTTATTACATTTCTGTGCTTATTTATTGCCAGCCAAGTCATGGTTCACTTCTCCAATATGGAAGGCTGCTCAGATACACACCTCATAAAGATTACTATGGAAATGTCTCTTTTACATACATTATGTCAGATATAAATGGTAACATTGCTAGTGCTAGTGTAAACATATCTGTTCTCACAATCCCACCTCAGTTTGTTTCCTTCCCAAGTCAATTGAAAGCAACAGAAGATGAAATCAGTCCAAGATTTGGGTAAGTTCCTATATATCTCCAAGACTTTTATAACTTGTTCTAGCTTGTATGCTTTTATGTAGCTATGGTTTATAACTCTAGTTTTTTTTTTTTTTTTTTCCTCTTTTGTAGTGGTTTCTCTGGCTTTGAGTTAAGATATTCAGATGTGAGTGAGAACATATCTGTCAATCTTAGTGCACAATCTGGGACTGTATCCCTCTCTCCCATCCTAATGCAATTTTGGCTCCTAAGTAGCAAACTTTCTATATACAAAGGGGATGGAGAAGTGAAGAGTTTGGTCTTGCAAGGCACCGTGGAAGTAGTCAATTTTGCCCTCAAGTCAATCCAATATTTTGGGTACTATTTACAAAGAGCGTTACTATTTATCATTACTAGTGATGCATCACTATACATGTGACAGTCACAGTGTAGAGTCACATGACAAAAAGTATGACAGTTGAGTCCTACATTGTTATGTGACAATTCTGATATGTTGTCACATCTGTTATGATTACATCACCATTGGTTAGATAGCATTGTTCATTTACTATTAAGGTTCCAAAGATGTTCAGTATTCACGAGTAATATAAGATTTTTTTTCCTTAAATACCAAAAATTTCCTGCTTCAATTATTCTGTTTTCCTTTGTTAACCAGCAATGAGAACTTCTTCGGTGGTGATGCAATAAGACTTTCTACAAGAAACACTAATGGAGTAAATAACTTGGATGTTCCCCTTTTTGTGGATCCTATTAATGATCCTCCTTTTATTCATGTTCCTGAATTTATTATTCTGAAGAGTAATGAAGATGAGTCTCTTATATATGACCCAGAAAGAGACAAGTTTGAGTTTTCCATTGGAGACCCAGATCTTGATGACTTCTCTGGTATGTTTAATTAAAGACAATACAGAAGAAATTTATTAAGAGTAAATAATTTTTTTTCTAACTTTTGGCTGTTTTCAGGTGATAACTCTTTTTTCTTGGTTACATTTTCTGTGGAAGTTGATAACGGATTCTTGGCAACAAGTCTACCAGCTGAGCTCATAAACACTACTGAACTCAGGACCATGAATAGCTATCAGTGGCAACCTCTTCAGACATATGTTACCATCTCACAACATTTTACTGTCAAAGCCAATGGGATTAGATTCCGGGGAACAATTAATGACTGCAATGGTGTAATGAAACAGCTGTTTTATTCTGTAAGCTCTTTTGCTATAAACTTTATGATGATGATGATGATAAGCTCCTAGGAACTGCATGCTACTTGAAAAGGCAAATCATGTTTCCATATGACTTAGAGTAATGACATTGAGCTCTGTGGGCCCCACATATATTCGTGCAGCTCATAAGCATTCTAAAAAATGCTCTGGGCACCATCACCAAGCATCATAACTAATAAAAAGTGAGTCTTATCTTTAAATTTCATATTACGAAACTTACTTTTTATTAGTGTGTGGTGTTGGACATCAGTAGTGCTTTTTGAATTGCTCAAGCATTTTTCTATGACCAAAGTATAAAGTGGGGCCTACATTAGCCTCCCAAGTATTTTTTAACCTCATTGATAAAATATAATACATTTCTTCTTGCTTTAATCACTTAAAGCATATTGGTCTCATCTTAGACCTTCACTACTTGGACAGCTATGGAAGAAAGGGGCATTTCTCATCACAATTAGCTATGCAAATCCTTAGGGGTTGTTCATATTTAGAATGAAAGAACAGGCTTTATGAATGAGAATCACATTGACCTTTTTTTTTTTTTTTTTTGCCTGTCTGTTTTTAATACAGGGTGTAGAACAAGGCACAGTCTTGACAGTGACAGTAAATGACATGGGAAACTATGGTTTTTACCCAGATTGTTCAGAAATGGTGTCAGTCCCTTTATATACAGAGGCTTCTATTAATCTAATCAGAAGAAGGCCAATGAGTTCATTTGTATCCCATTGTGAGTTCTTTTCTGATCTTGTCTTATAACAAGAATTTCTTTTAGTTGCTTTATTAAATCATCTGTTCTGATGACTCAATTAGCTTAAAAGAAACGACATGACGTATAATTCATCTCACTCTTTTATAGAAGCAAACTCACACTTTCTTTTTTTTTTTTTTTTCGGTCACTGATTGGATAACAAACAGCCTTAGGATCAGCAATTGTGATTGAATCCATCACCGTGCTTGCTCTTGGAGCTGTACTTTTATCTTTTACGTGCAAATGTGCACTTGTTCTGGTCCATGAAAGAAGAAGAAATAATGCTATTATCACTACGACACCTGAGGCATCTCCTACGGAGGCTTCCAACAAAGCAAGTGTAAGTAATCCTTTTAAATACATACATACATATATATATATATACACACATATTGATGTCGTTTTAGATTTGGTGATGTTTATGTAAAAACTTGTTTCTTTTGGCATGCATGTTTTTACTGTGCTCATATATTCATGTGCAGTAACAAAGACAAAGGACTTGACCTCAACCGGAAATACAGTTTCTCGCTTGGTAACCAAGATTAGATAGAGAGAGATATGTATACAATGTACTATAATTTATAAGGGTTTTTCTTTTTTTAATTGAACTGTTGAAAAGCTGTAAACTTTAGTTACACTTGCGATTCTGCGAATGTCCTTTTTTTTTTTTATTAACTTTTTTTTCCTGGGTAAATTGTCTGATTATGTGCCTGGAAAGCAAACTAGCTTGCTTTTTCTATTTTATTTCACTTTATTTTCTAAGGAAAAACAAACCAGCTTGTTGGCGCATGGTCTCAATGAAGAAATCAAATATAATTTAATGTAAATAAATTATCACGGATTATCAAATTAGTTTAGAATACTAGTAACTTAATTTATTTGGAATTTTTAATTTATATTTAAGTTAAATTAGTTATATTTTAATGAAGTTTCTGTCATATAGATCTATTATAATCTATATAGAATATTAAAAATCCATTTACATACTAATATATAATATACAATGTAAAAATTTATTCATTTCATTCATTAATCTAATAAGGATTCTTTTCAAAAAAAAAAATTTAACGTAAAAAGTGTTTTTACCCAATAAAAAAACTCAAAATTTGGTCAAAAATAAAATAAAACGAGGGCCAAACCGTTCATAGATAAAAGTCAACAATATATTGAGCCGACGGAATAGTAAAATTTGAGACTTTTGGACATGGCGGCGGCGGTGGGTCTGAAGCTCCTGCAAGTAGGCACTAAGATCGTCGGCGTCGGAAGGAACTACGTCGCTCACGCCAAAGAACTCGGCAACGCTGTTCCCAAGGTAATCTTACTTTCTTCTCTCTTTCTCTGGTTGTTTGGTTGTCGAGAAAATTGCCGGGAAAACGAGAAATGAGAAAAGATAGTTCCTTTTTTCTTGTCAAATGCGTTATGTGTAGGAGCCTGTATTGTTCCTGAAGCCGACATCGTCTTACCTGGAACCGGGCGGCACAATCGAGATTCCGCATCCCCTGGAGTCGCTCCACCATGAGGTTGAGCTCGCCGTCGTGATCGGCCGGAAAGCTCGCGACGTCCCCGAGGCTACCGCCATGGATTATGTCGGAGGTCATATTCTTATCATTAACTAGATTCTCGATTATTAGTTTTGCCTATTGATCGATGATTTTGGAAAAATAAAAAATAAAAAAAGAAGTTCAATATGTGAAATGTCATAACGATCTCGATTAGATTATGATTTTTCTCCTTTTTCGATTAACGATTTGCCTGATATATGATCAATTCTTCCATCCTATACTCTTCAAAAGCTAATGTCGTTTTTGATTCGGTTTGATTTGTATTTGTTGTCTTTGTGATTCATTAAAATCTACCTTTTGAATAAACCTCTCAGTTTTCTTGTTATTGCTATGGTTTTTAGAATCTTAAAGAATCAACTAAGTAGTTAAATGTAGTTTTTGATTTAGGTTGTTTTGGTTGATTTAAGTTTCCTTAAAAGTATTCCTTTTGACGAACATTTTGGTTTTTCTTGTTATTGTTATGATTTTCAGTATCAAAAAGAATCGCCCTAGTAGTTAATGGTTATTGGGTTGTATTCCTTGAAATCTATGAGTTTGATTTCTTTTTTTTTTAAATGCTTTTTTTTTTTGGATTGTATAATTGGGAATTCTATTCTTTCCTACGTTTGTTGGGATTGTGTGCTTTTGGTTTCTTTGTTGGGAGATCTGAATGGTCTAATTGGTATTTTCTAGGTTATGCACTTGCTCTGGATATGACCGCTAGGGAAATTCAATCTGCAGCAAAGGTAATGCTTTTGGTTCTTTCTCTTCATTGTATTCCAAGGGCCTATATGGGAGAGCTTTTACTTCCGCTTTTACATAGTAAAGAAATTTTCCTTTGGCTTCCCGGACCCAGAAACAACTTTTATGGCGGTTGTATGAAATCTTGGAATAGCTTTCGAAAGTTGTTTTTGGGTTTAAGAAGCCAAAAGTTTACTTCTAAGAGCCATGCCAAATTGGCCCAAGATAGGCAGCATTCTCTCTCACGTATTGTTGATCAAGGACGCACAGTTAAGGCACAACCAGTTGTTTCTGCCTTCAAATACTAGAAAATGTTCAGTGGGAGGGGAGTTTTCAAACGTGGTTACTCATTAGACAGGCACCGATAATGGATAAGATAACTAATTGCAACTGTTATAGGTAAAAGTGAAAACAGGCACTGCTATGCTGTTGGAGGGAAACTATTGCGTCATGGACATTTTATGACACATAAATTCTGTGTCTAAACTATGAATGGGCTGATTTGGATTGTCTTTGGGAATATAATATATTAAAGACATGAATGTCAACTAAAAATATTTCCATTCCCAGTCTGCAGGTCTTCCGTGGACAATAGCTAAAGGGCAGGATACCTTCACCCCAATCAGTTATGTTGTAAGATATAAATCACATGGTTTGATGTTTAACTCCGCTACTGGCGCGTTTCTCTACTATCTTTCTGTGCACTTGGATTACATCTTATCAGTATTTTTAGATGAAATTTACCAAAAGAGAAAACTTAAAAGAAGTATTTAACTTCAGAACTGGTGCATTAGTCATTGGTGTGGAGATATTCCCTTAGAAGCTACATTCTACCATATAGGCTTAGAAGAATATTGATTAATGAGCTAGTATACTTGATTCCTTCTTTGCTAATGATGTCTGCTTTTACTTTTAATGTTACTCGTTACTATACGTATAGATTGCCGTATCTATACATAAAATAAAAGGATGTATCAAGTGTTTTTCACTATTACTTTTTTCTTTTCTATTAAGTTATATTTTAAGAAAAGTTTATTACTAGACCCTTGATTATATTTGGTAAGTATCTATTTCTTCTACCTACATTTATGCATTACTACCTCTTCTCCTTTGACTGTTCGAAATTAATCATGCAGCTGCCCAAGGAATCAGTACCAGACCCCGACAATTTAGAACTATGGTTGAAGGTTCATAATTCAGCTCCTCTTCGTTCATTTGCTTTTCTAAGTAGCCTAGTCTTTGGATTAATGAAGTCCAAATTGATCGACCGCAGGTAGATGGTGACATAAGGCAGAAAGGCTCTACCAAGGATATGATATTTAGGATTCCGTATCTCATTAGCCACATAAGTTCTTTCATGACACTTTTTGAAGGAGATGTCATACTTACAGGTATATTGTAGTAATAAAAAAATGTCTGAACTTTCTTTTTCGTCGTCTTTCTTGGGTGGAAATAGTTGTGTTTACTGATTGAATGACAAAACCCCGAGTGGAAAAAGGGCACTATTTAAGCCTATTTGTAGTGTATGTATGAGCAACGATTGGAGCTAATCTTGGTCATTGATTCTGTATAAGCAGGCACTCCCGAAGGTGTTGGCCCAGTAAAAGCAGGTCAAAAGATCACTGCCGGTATAACAAACCTTTTGGACGTTAACTTCAATGTTGAGAAAAGGCGGAGGAAATAGTTTGTCTACCGTTGGGCTGGCCATGTCATTTGCTTCTTTCTGTTGGTAATATATCATTACTAATGTTAAAAAAGCTTATTCAGAGCTCTCTTTTTCATGTCATGTTGCCTCGCAAATAAATTGTACACTTGTGGATTTAACATGCAAAGGTTAGTTATCAAGTGCAGAACTTTCCGTCATTTAAAAGTTGGAACTCCGTACTTATCATTCAGTTCACCAATTTAAATTTTCAATTCAAACTGAGATATGATTTTATGTGAGTTTTTAATTGTAGCAGAAAAAGTTAGATGTGATTTTTTTATGATAATTTTTTACTCTAACAAATCTGAAATTAAAAACTCAAATCGGTGAAATAAACGATAATATTAGCATTGAGGATCTTAACTTTGAAAACCTTTTTAACAATTGCAGTCCAATTGACCAACGTTAACAGCAATTAGATTTCAGATGTCACAATTAAAAAACTTCGGTTGAAACTTGCGAACAAACGAAAAGTTGGGAATGCATTTATGGGCAAGCAGTGTGCGTGCGACAGAAAATGTGTATCCATATAGTATGCATTTTTATTTCAAAAGAACAGCCATGAATGAAAAGAAAGGCTGCACTTAAAGAGTGCCAAAACGTACACATAAATGCCATCATATATCGGCTAAAGCTGGACTTGTTGGAGCAAACGGCTTGTTAGAAGACTAGTGACAAGTAACAACATATGGATCTACATATATATATATATATATAATTTGATAAAAGTGTGTTGGTTTTATCCATTATTACCACCTCCTCCGGGAAAGGTACGTCTCTCTTGAACCCACCTTTATGTAATCCATACTCCAATAATTATAAACCGGGAAAATATGAAAAGAAAATTCATATTAGAAAATCATACACATTAATTATGGTAAAGACTAACATTAATATTACTTGTGTCACACTAAAAGGATTGAAAAGGATTTCAGTCACGTGAAACTTAGGAAAAGGGAGCGTTCTGATTAGGGGTGTAAGTTTTTAGTCCGAACCCGCAAAACCCGGCCAACCCGACTTTATAGTTTTTTTTTTTTTTTTTTTCGGTTTAAAATGGTCCCAACCCGCAGTGTGCGGGTTGGGCATGCTTGAACCCACAATGCCCCAACCCGGCCGTTTGGAAGCTTAGCCCTACCCTAATGAAGCTTAGCCGTCCCTCGTCCTCACTCGGTCACTCCTCACTCCTCCTCCGCCTCTCAGTCCTCACCTCCTCGCCTCTCGAGTCTCGCCTCCCTCCTCTCCTCTCGTCTCTCGCCTCTCGCCTCTCGCCTCACGCACGCCTCGCCTCCTCCTTCACCCTAAATCCCTCATCCCTAAATTACTCGCATTCTCCTCCAGTCCTCATTCTCCGTTCCTCTTCTTCTTCTCAGTCTCTCACCGTTCGTTGCCGTTCCTCACAACTCACACTCGCCATTCCTCACCGTTCATCGTAAGTTCCTCTTCTTATTCAAGTTTTTTTTTTTTTTAATCAGAGCAAACCAAACAGAAATGGGTTTGTGAAATTTGAATCTTTTTGTTGAAATTTATTACTTTGTGCTGGTTTCTGCTTTTTTTGTTTTCTGTTTTTGATTGTCTGGTTTTGTTTTTGCTTGTTTGTTTATGCTCGTGAGTGGAATCTTTTTGTTTCTGCTTGTTTGTTTCCAGCCGAGGAAGAAGAGTGAAGACTTTGAAGACTTTGGTTTCTGGTTTGGAATTCAGGAAGAAGAGTGAGCAATTGAAAACAGACAGGTTAGAATAACTTTCTTGAGTTTGTCATGTGTTGCCTGCTTTCTTCAATGTGCGAGAACGTTGTATTTCTTCAATACTTTTTGTAAGAGAACATGGTATTTATAAGAATAGAATATACGAAAGGCAGAAGAAGAACAAGAAGTCTTATAGAACATGTTGAACCTTTTATTTTTTTTATTTCTTCTTGTAGTTAATTTGGAAGAATCCCATGTGGTTCTCTGTGGATTGAGAGGAATAAACGGATTTTTAATTATACTAAGGAAGATAGTGTGGATGTTTGGAAAAGTATTAAACTTTGGGTAGCATTATATATATAAACTTAGGGGATGAGATTTGTTTTTGTAGGGTCTTGTAAGTTTTTGGAAGATAGGCTGACATTTTGTTTCCTTTGTTTTGCGTTTATGAGGACTCCCTTGTCCTCTTCATGTTTACCCATAATTTTTGAAATTAATGAAGCTAGAATTACAATAAGCAGAGATCATATTACAATATGGCCACTAGAATTTTTCATTTCATCGCTTGCAAATCGAACAAAGTATGTGTGTATGCATATTCTTATTCGTTAGATTATTAGTTTTTTATACGTGATATGTTGACTTTTCACTAGACGTTAAAAATGTGACAGTAATAGCTAAAAGACATGACACCTTCACACCAATCAGTCATGTTATAAGAAGTACTCTTTAGATTCCTTTTGCCACTAATGATGGTGTTTTCTCTTGTTTCTTTCTATGCACTTAATCATGACATCATGTCAACATAGTATACATATATACGCGTGTATATATATATATAGATATATATATATATATATTATAAAGAAGAACCATATCTTGAGCAATAAAAAATAAAAAATGAAAAAGAAAAGAATCATATCTTTCCCACAAAAAGGAAAAAAAAAAAAAAAGGAATCGGATCCACGTAAATTAACTTCTATGAGGTGTATTATACCAATGTTTTGTTGAAATGGAATAATTGGAGTGGAATTGCATGAGCAAATTACATATTCCCTCAGAAGCTACAGTTCATGTTTAGTAGAAAATGTCAGGATGTTCTAAAGAAGCCGAGGCTGAAATTTATGTTTTATTTTCCTTGATTCTTTTTTTCTTTTGTCTAATTTCATTTCAAAAGCTTAAGGACTTGTTCGGTTGTATTTTTGAGTTATGGTAATTTAAGTGTAGAATTTGAGTTGAATTTGAGTTGAAGTTGTAACTTGAGTTTGTGTTTAGATATGCACATTTGAGTTATGATGTGAATTGAGAATCTATTTGAGTTTGTGTTTGAGTGAGTCAAAACTTGAATTTGTATTTAGATAGTATTTTAATAAAAATTCAATGGTGATGAAAAATTTTAATAAGGTATATGGGTGGGGTTTTATTCGTCTCTTCGTTGTGAACGCATAGAACAAAAATCATCTCAATCGGAATTAAAACGAAAAAATTATGATGTTTTTAAGAGTACAAAAAATATTGTTTATTAACTTGAGTTTGAGTTTAAAAACTTAAGTTGAAGGAAAAACATGGTTGTTCTTTTGGAGTGTAATTTGAGTGTAGTTTTTGAGTTGAATTTGAGTTATAACTTGAGTTGAAGTTGTAACTTAAATAAACTTGAGTAGAGTTGAATAAAGTTGAAACTTAAAAGAACATGAACTTGAATAAAGTTAAAACTCGAGTTAGTTTTTTTTTTTTTTTTTGAGGTTTTTAGATAAAAGAACATGAACTCATATTTTAGACCTAAACTCAAGTTAAAACTCAAGTTTAAGCTCAAATTTTATAAACAAACATGAACTTAAAAAAAATTATAACTTAAATTTAAACTTTTTTTTAGTTTTATTCCAAAAGAACGGGCCCTAAGAGTAATTTTATGGATCAATGCATATCTGGCTTACATTTTTAAGAACTGACTCTTTTAAAATCAATTTCCTGCAGCTGCCCAAGGCATCAGTACCAGACCCTGACAATTTGGAATTCTGGTTAACGGTTTCTAGTTTGGCTCTTCTTCATTCATGTTGCTTTTATAATCACAATAGTCTCCATATTTTACATAATCATTTATCATTAGCTACATAAGACCGAAAGGCTCAACCAAGGATATGATATTTAAGACCCCATTTATCATTAGCTACATAAGTTCTATCATGACACTGTTTGAAGGGATGTTATACTTACAGTTGATATTAGTCTTGATTTCATTCATATAACTGATTTAAATTTTTATAATTAAAATTTTTTTAAAAATATCACATTTAATTATTTTTATTACAATTAAAAATTAAAAAATATTATATTTAAATTTAAATTAAAAACTCAAAACTACAAAATAAATAATAAGACTTAAAACCCTTTATCCCTAAGGTTCAAAATTTTATAAGAACAATCATAAAAGTCCCCTTTATCCCCGTCAAGCTCACGAAGCGGGCCCTACCGGTGTGGCCCATGTGGGACCCACTCTTTTATCTCCATTGGGCAAAAAAAGTTTTTTTTTCTTTTTCAACATTTTTCACCATAGAAATTTTTTTTTTCCCTTAAAGCATGAATAGTTATTGTTGATTGAGTGATAGAGCCCTGAATAGACGAAACTATACACGTTTCTCAGAGCATTTACATGAGTAATGAGTGCAGCTAATCTTATCATCGATTCCATGTATGCATTGGCCAGGTTAAAGCAGGTCAAAATTACCGCTGGGATAACAAACTTCCTGCATGTTAACTTCAACGTTGAGAAGAGACAGAGGACAGGAAATAAGTGAGTGTTTATTCTTTTGAGTGAAAAACTTAAAAAAATACAACTCGAGTTACAATTTTATTCAAATTCATGTTTTTTAAGTTTAAATTCGAGTTCAAACTCGAATTTAGGACTAAAACTCGAGTTTAAATTTCCCGTTTAACTCGAGTTTAGAAACTCGAACTCAAATTAATTTAACAGTATTTTTTCTATTCTTATGCTATAACTTTTTCGTTTTAATTCTGATTGAGATGATTTTTTTTTCTATGCGTTGACAACGAAAAGACGAATAAAACTCAACCCATATACCCTATTAAAATTTTTCATCAGCATTAAATTTTTATTAAAATATTATCTAAATATAAATTCAAGTTTTGACTTACTCAAACACAAACTCAAAAAAATTCTTATCTCAAACCATAACTCAAATGTACACAACCAAACACAAACTTAAGTTACAAGTTTAACTCAAGTTATAACTCAAATTCAACTCAATAATTATACTCAAGTTAAATTCTAAAAGAATAAGTCCTGAGTTTTCAGCAAACAAATACTAAAAGACATTGAGAAGGTGGCAGCATTAAAAAGCTAAGAACAAAAGTTCATATCCTGTCATTAATACTTATTAAAGAGAACTCTATTGTGTGACTCATTATGCTTCAGCAAAGAAATCATTGGTAATAACATAATGTGTGGCCAAGTTGTGTCCGCAAAGACTCTCGCTGCCTATGTGGTCGAAGAACAATTGTGAAAACACAAGACAAAAAAGGCAGTCCATTTACATAAATATATCTCCTAATTTCAATTAGATGGTGTTGGGATGGGGGATGGGATAGAGGCGTGGCGGCACTAGAAGGCTCGGGGCCGGAGGGCTGTTTGGCGTGGGGAGAGGCGTGGTTGGCGGCTACAGGGGAGGTTGTTGGGGGTTTGGTTCCTTGAGGGATGTCCATGAGTGGGAGCAAAGTAACAATGACCCTAAAATTCTGCGACATCGATGAAAATAATCCTTTTAAGAATGTTCATTTTCCCTGCTGCGAAAACCACTCAGTGGAATTATTATTATTCATTTATTATAAGTATTATTATTAGTAGTCCATTCCACTAAGGGAAACATATTTACTATCACATATAGGCTACGTGGGTGAAATTGTTTGTTGACAACACAAAAAGCTAAAAGGGAACGGCAATAGATGTGCAACCTCCTGAGTCCTAATCAGAACTTGTTGAAGAAGTCATAGATGTGATGGTTTATCTCCTGTGGCCTTTCCTGGTTGATGAAGTGGCCAACGCCTTCCATTATTACTACCTCCTGCAGAAAAGGCACGTCTCTCTTGAATCCACCTTTGTGTACGTAATCCTTGGCCCCAAAACTATTGTAAGTTAGGTCCAAATCACCCACAATAAACTTCACCGGAACCTTGATCGGAGTCCCCGTCCATGGTGCGACGAGTTCCCAGTTTCTGTTGACACAGGAAAAAGGAAAAATGAGAAAAGTCAAATAACCCGGAAAAACACGATGAGAAAAGTCATAACAAAGAATCATACACATAATAGCATTACTTATGGTAATCATCATCACTACTAATTTTTAGGGATCCTCTCCACTTTACTAAAAGAGTTTGTGCACCTCGATCAAACCCAACATGTCTCTAATTTTGAAAAGAAAAAAAAAAGGACCAAAATGGTTAATTCAAGCAATTTGTGTATCGTGTTATTTATACTCAAATGAAAAAAATAAAAAAAAATAAAAACTCTTCAAAACCAAACAACAAAAGACCAACTACCAAGTACGTTCTAGTTTGTAGCAAGTACATGCACATATGTAACTAAACAAAGTTAATCGACATTTTTACCGATTATTTGCTTAATATAAAAGTGCAATTCTTCAGTAATAGCAGACAAAAAGACTGACAGATCTGTTTATTTTATCGATTTGAGTTTAAATTTGAGTTTTGTTACAGTAAAAAACTCTCAGAAAGAGTCATATCTAACTTTTTTACTACAGTAAAAAACTTTTACATAAAGTCGCATCTCAATTCAGATTAAAAACACGAATCAACGAATTAAACGGTTTTTTCTGCATAACTATTATGGCTATTCATGGGTTGGGTTGGTGCGGGGTATGACTTTTTTTTTCCGCCCCAAAGGGTGCGGGTTGCACATATTTGGCCCCAACGATGTTAGAAAAATTTTACAACCCAACGATGTTCAAGTTGGGTTGGGGCGGTGCGGGGTGAGTTGGGTGGTCGGTTTCAACATTCAAAAAATCAAAAACTTAAAATTCAATATAATATTCAAATTTCATCATTAAATAGAAATAGCAATCATCCTTATCATTCCGGCAAGAGAGCACCGGAGAAAGTGGGCAAGACGGCGGCCGAAAGGACTGAGCAATGAAGAGAGAGTTATGAGGGGGTTCACGAGAGAAGAAGAAGAGGGAAAACTGAAAAGGAAGAGGCAAGAAGAGGGGGTTCACGGGAGGGGAGACCGAGAATGAGATTGTGAACCCTAATGTTAGCGAGCCTAAGGTAGAACTTAGGCTGAAAGTTTAGGAGTATGTTGTGCGGGTTGGGTTGAGGATTGCGGGTTGTTATGGGCCCAACTCGCAATCCGCCCCAAACACTTCGGGCTAGAGGTATAATGGGCCGAAAATTTAAAAATAATGCTGCAGGTTATTTTTTTCGGCTTAGGTTGGAGCGAGGTGGGTTGGGTTTGCGGGTTGTTCGGGTTTATGAACAGCCCTAATAACTATTTGCGTGTCTTACTTTTTATCCATTCATAAACTTAAAGGGGTTTTTCTTTGCATTCTGAATCTGGGTTTTGTTTTTTTTTTTTTTTGGGCTGAAATTCGGAATCTGGTATCTAACAACTTGAATCTTAAACCTTCAATTTGACAAAGGGAACCTAAATTTATATCCAATGGGCACCAGCTAATAAATTTCAATTTATAACGAAATGCCCAACTATTTTTGGACAAAATGCTCTCAAAAGTTCAAAACTTTTCATTAGTGGACAAATTAAAATCTGAACTTTTCAAATTTAACAATTGGATCCTAATTGAGGTAACTCTCCATAACATTCACAAGTAAGAGCTCCATGAAGAAGCCATACCTATCAATATTCCGGTAATAGTTGATTCCTCCGGTGAAGCCAGTCTTCTCAAATTTGCTCACGTAATACTTCAAATCTTCCTCCGATAACCAATCAGGCAGCGAAATCGGAACATCCACGGGCCGTTCAAACCCTTTCCCCTTCGGCAAGAAGAGCGGACCTGGATGTCGATACGTCAGAAACTCCCTCAGCACTCTATCGATACCGATCTTCTCAAGCTCGGCTTCAATTTCCCCAAATTCCTAGCAATTCATCCGATCAAAACCAACCAAACATTTTCGCAATCGAAAAAGAAATTCAATTCACAAAACCTAGATTCTCAATAAAAAAAACCTGAAATCTGCATATGTAGTAGTTGTCGCCGCATACGGCTCGCATGGAGTGGATCGGCCTGCGCCTAGGGTTCCTGGGGTTGAAGGCGACGCTGAGGTTGACGAGAGCCTTGACGCGGTCGGGACGGAACAGGCAGAGGTACCAGGCGATGAGAGCGCCCCAGTCGTGGCCGACGACGAAGACCTTATCCTGATCGGCGGCGATGGCGTCGAGGAGGGCGATCAGGTCGCCGACGATGTCGAGGCAGGTGTAGACGGCGGGAGATTCCGGCGCGGCGGAGTCGCCGTAGCCGCGGAGGTCCGGCGCCACGGCGCGGAAACCAAGGGAGGAAAGGGCGGCGATTTGGTGCCGCCAAGAGTACCAGAGCTCAGGGAAGCCGTGGATGAATAGGATCACCGGGCCGTCACCTTTCTCGGCGACGTGCATGTGTATGCCGTTTACCTCCACTGTTCTGTGTTCTATTCCGTCCATTCTCTCTCTCTCTCTCTCTCTCTCTCTCTATTAGAAAAAAGTCTGATATTTCAGTGTCTTATAGTGAGATACAAGTAAGATTGGCCGGCCGAAAAACAAAACAAGATTGATTGGCGATGAAAATGAAATGATTATAAGCTTTTTTTTATTATTATTTTAAGAAAACTTCGGCGCCAGATCGAGAATTAAGAGAAACAAGCAAGCAAACAAAAGTTTGAACTGACGGATAACAAACTGATATGAATAATGTGTAGTCTGGGAAAGCTTAAGTCAAATTTGTGTCAAATTCTCATTATTATTATTATTATTTATTATGTGGGAAAAAAAGTTTTTTCTACTTTTCTTTGTTGTTTAATTATATGGATTCTGTGCATTTGAGAGGGAAAAAAAAAAGGATTTTGTTTATGTTGCTAAAACGGGAAACAAAAATCACGCAAAATAAGCGGGAGAAGGGATCAAGACGACTGTATTTGCATGAAGAAGAGATGCTACATTAGGCCGATGTATATTCTAAAAAAAAAAAAAATTAGGCCAATGTTTGTTTATAATAAGTAGATTCTAAAGAAGATCAAAAGCACTTTCTTTAGGGGGGGGGGAAAAAAAAAACGAGCAAGTTCCTTCCGTAGATAAAAAAATAGAACTACTTTTCAGCCGTTTTAAATCGTCAAATCTATATAAAAAAAAATTACATATTTTATATATATTTTTTTAATCTCATTTAATTTTAATAAAATTTAATGATTATTAAACTTTTTTGCCTACTAATAAGACAGTTTACCGGAGACAGTAAAAAAGACACTTTTTTTTGTAAGATATTTCTTTTGAAGTTGGGTTTCTAATAATGGCGGAGTCAGTCTTTTACTTTAATAAGAGCGTACATTAAATTTTTTAAAAAAATTATCTTAATTAAAGCATATAAGAAAATATATTTATTTTAATAGAAATATATATTATTACAATAGAAATTTAAGTATAAAATTTTTAAATTTTTAAAGATAATAATTTTAAAAAAAATTAAGTAGAAACAATAAGAGCCCGTTTGGTTCATGAATTATAACCATGAGATTAGAATCATTTTTAATTTACGTGTATTTTTTTATGAGAAAAAATATTATAACGAATTATGAATTATAATTCAAATCAGAGAATAAATTTTTTAACTAAACGGGCTCTAACTCTCACTGAAGTATTCTTAAATTCGTCACTAATTGTCAGGTACTATCTCTGTTGTCCATATCTGATTTTCTATTATTTTATGCTTGGCATCTATTTGCTTCAAATAAGGATGAGATGAGACTCTGTGCATGGGAAGCGTGAAATTGGTTGGCTCTTGCTCCACAAGTGACAAATGAGGGTGGTGGTTGTTATTGATGCAATTATTGTTTGAGCATTGATACGTGTGCCCATTTATGCCTTATTGAACTTCTACGGTAAAAGCTGGTATTTTACCCTACCCATTTTTTCTAAGGACTTATTCATTTCACCGATTTAAATTTAGAATTTGAGTTTTATTACAATAAAAAGTTTTTAGAAATAGTCACATTTAATTTTTTTACTACAGTAAAAAGCTCTCACACAAAATCACATCTCAACTCGAATTACAAACTCAAATCAACAAAGTGAACGGGCCCTAAGCCTCCGTTATTTTCGATTTTTGCTGATTCGAGTTTAAAATTTAATTTCTATTATAATAAAAAGTTTTTAAAAATAATCACATTTAATTTTTTTTATTACAGTAAAAAATTCTCACACAACATCACATCTCAACTCAAATTAACGAATCGAACGACCTAAGTGTACAATTTGTTTTTATATTTGAATAGGAGTAGTTTTGTATGCCCATTTTACTATAAATACTCACAGATTTAATTATTAAAAAATTGAAAAAAATTATTATTAATCACTATAAGTGGCTCATGGGACTAAAAATCTCTTTTGTCTCGGGATAAATCTAAGATATCCGATGGTTGTATACATACTTGCTATGTTGTTTAGACTAGGAGATGTGTGCTCGCATGTGTGATTTAATTTTGTTGAATTATTTGATACACGTACAATTTAGTTCATTTTCTTAATTTATTAATTATTCTTTTAATTAATTTTGTGATGGTATATTTTAGAAAATAGTATACGAGGTTCGTGAAGAGGAAAACGTTTAAGTAAGATAAGTATTTTTAACAATCACATTTGAACAAAATGATGATGTTTTAAAAGGCTATAAGGAATGATGTTTATATGTTTTTAAGCATACATTTGAGAGAAATTATTTCGATGTAGCATATAAAAAGATTATCTTAAAGAGACATGTGCATTTTAATAAAAACTACTTGTATAGAGAAATAAAACACATTTAAAAATATTAGAAAATTTAAAAGTATAATAATTATTAGCGCACATATGAAAGGGAAAATTTTTTGTAAGTAAAAATCCATTGTTGCAAAAAATTATTGAAGTGGAGAAAATTTCGAAAGTGTATTTATAAAAGTCCCATTTTAAAAAAAATAATATCTATAAGTTTGAAAAAATATTTATTTGATAAATATATTTAAAAAGAAGTATTTCAACATGAACAAAATTATAGAACACAATAAATGTAAGAAATAAAAAGGATAATATTAGCTTAGAAAAAACGTGAAAGGTTAAAAGAGTAATAAAATGATTGTATAAGTTTAGGTTAAAAAACTCAATAGCACATCAAACAATTTAAAAAGATTGGAAAACATGAAGAACAAAATGATAATAAAAAAAATAGAGAGAGAGAGGGGGAAAAGTAAAAGCACAAGAAACAAAAGTACAAAGAACAAAATAACTCTTCGAATCATGATTCGTAGTATGATTCGTAGTTAGTTATAGTATTTTCTCTCATAAAAAATACACGTAAATTGAAAACAGTTTTGAATCATGATTCTGAATCCATAAACTAAACGTCCACGGTTAAAATTCTGAATAGTATTCCTAAAATAACTCTCTTTTATAATATAGTAATAGATTTAACGCTAACGAACGTGCATTACCGGTAAGTATTTCTTGGCTCTTGCTATAAAAAGCTTCTTTGTCTTACGGAGATCAATGTCACATTGACACGACCGCAGCAACAAGTATCTCATTAAAAAAACACACACACGAAAGAACCAAGTATATATGTCCACACAAATCACTCAAAGAACCGGCCGGACATGGGAGAGAGAGAAGCTCTAGCAAACATATATGACATAAATAGGGCACACATAGACACAAACACAAACAAATACTTTGCATATGATCCGTTCTTGACAGCAGAGGATTGGGACTTGCTAAAGAAATCGTATATGTGCTGGGTGACCTCATCTGCCTTTTCTTCGTTGACGAAGTGGCCTACTCCTTCCATTACCACCACTTCCTGCAGAAAAGGCACATCTCTCTTGAAGCCACCTTTGTGTATGTAATCCTTCGTTCCATATAAGTTGTAAACAAGGTCCTGATCCCCTACAATGAACTTGACGGGCACTTGCATTTTAGCCCCGGTCCACGGCGCAGTAAGTTCCCAGTTTCTGTCAAAAAAAAGAAAGAAGAAATTTGGTAACTCGAATATATCCATGTTCAAGATTGTCACTTAAATTACGTGTAAAGAAACATTTAAGATAAATGTTTAGAGTCACCGTCAGTACTAAGCACCATCATCGCTAATTAAAGAGGATCCCGCCTTCTATTAGTGGGTAGTGCTCAGTACTATCAGTGTTCTATAGTAGCGTTGTTTTATGGCTCGTTTAGTTCGTTAATTTTAATTTTTAATTTGAGTTGGGATGTGACTTTATGTGAGAGCTTTTTGCTTTAGTAAAACTCGAATCGGTGAAATGAACGAGATAATTACCTGTCTATGTTTCTGTAATAGTTTATTCCTCCTGTGAAGCCTGTCTTCTCAAATTTGCTGGCATAGTAGTCCATGTCTTCCTCGGATACCCAACTGGGCAAGGCAATTGGAGTATCTTTCGGATGCCCAAAACATTTACCTTTAGGCATAAAAAGTGGTTTTGGACTCCTATAGGTATAAAATTCCTTGATTACTGTTGCAGCACCAATTTCGGCAAACTCTGCTTCTATTTCTCCAGGTTCCTAAAATAAGACAGTTCAACCATATCTCAATAAAACTCATCATGTATTGGCTAACCCAAGAGAAGTCATTTTCCAAATGTCACCTCTATTCCTAGGCCTCACATTTCCTAAAACCATCTGGAGAATGCAACTGAATTGGTACTAGCTGTTGAACTTAACTGAAGAAAATGTCAGTGACGTATATCAATTTGAGACATTACATGGTAGGATATGAAGAACACCTTATCCGAGCTCTATTTTTAAACTGTTAGATCTATATCCAACTCTGTCAATTTTATATATTTTCATCATTTTGATGAGAGTTAACCTTCACAAACATATGCACTACCACAAAAAGCTCCATAGTAATTATAAGGAAATCTAGATCCACAACTAATTATTTGAAGACACTAAATTGAGCTTGTATATATGCATATAATCCCTACTTCAGCACTAATTAAACACAAAATTTATTTTAATTCACAAAAAAAAAAAAAAAATCTTCCTTTGTGTCTAGACCAGGGCATGGTCTACGTATGATTTCTCTTAGCAATAATTATAAGTTTTTTGTTTTTCAATTATAAATGAAGGATTCTCAACTAATCAAAACAAAGGCACTTAAGTGAAGAAAAATAAAATTACACACAAGGGTGAAAAAACACCAATTTTTACCTGAAATCTACAAACGTAGTAGTCATCACCATAGAGAGCTCTTAAGGTCTCATAGGGCTTCCTGTTAGGGTTCCTTGGATTAAAGGCCACACTCAAGTTCACCAAAGCCTTGACACGGTCAGGCCTAAACAGGCAAAGATACCAAGAGATAAGCGCACCCCAGTCATGCCCCACCACAAACACCTTCTCCTCCTCGCCGGCGACGGCGTCCAACAGCGCTATAAGGTCTCCGACGACGTCGAAGCACGTGTATTTCGCCGCAGAATCAGGCGCGTCGGTGTCACCGTAGCCTCGGAGGTCCGGTGCAATGGCCCGGTAACCGAGTGAAGCCAAGGCCATAATCTGGTGACGCCACGTGTACCAGAGCTCCGGGAAGCCGTGGACTAATAGGATCACCGGGCCGTTACCCTTCTCGGCGACGTGCATGTTTATGCCATTCACATTTATAGTTCTGTGCTCTATCCCTTCCATAATTGTGTGATGAATATATATTATATCACTTTCTTAAGAATATAAGTCCTTTGTTTTGCTTTGCTTTGCTTTTAAGCACTTGATCTTGATCTTCTTTATATATATAGTGGGCTAATGATATTGTTAATCAGTGGTGAAGGAATAGGATCAGATCACCACGTGTTGGGGAGAGGATTAAAGCTGATTAAAGTGGATTAATTAAAGCTGATTAAAGCTGATTTATTAAAGCTGATTAATTAAAGCTTGATCTTCTTTAATGATATTGTCAATTAAAGCTGATTAATTAAGCCAATAAATTATGGATTTAATTTTTTTTTTTAAATGTACTGCTGGATTATTCTGAATTGCATGTGAGGAAGTATTGATGAAAACGTGTTACACGAGATGTTAGTTTACGGATCAATCCCAAAAGTTTAAGTTGTTAGGCGGTGGACTAACAATAGTTTTATACATTAACACTCACCCTCACGTGTGGGCTGGATAATAGACAATCGTGTGGGTAAATTAATTAAAAAACCCAACACGTGAACATTTAAGCCTGATATATTAAAAACCCAACACATGACAATTTAAATGGAAATAAAGAGTACAATTACGAGGGTTTAAACTCAGGACCTCTCGCTCTGATACTATGTTAGTTTACTCCAAAAGTTTAACCTATTAGGAGCTGGACTAACAATAATTGATTAATTAAAGCTTGATCTTCTTTAATGATATTGTTAATTAAAGCTGATTAATTAAGCCAATAAATTATGGATTTACTTTTTTTTTTTTAAAAGTACTGCTGGATTATTCCGAATTGCATGTGAGGAAGTGCTGATGAAAACGACGAGAAGGCCGTTAATGTATAATAATAAAATTTCAAATGAACAACCTTATCAAATTGACCAGTGATTTTTATTATATAACAATTTAATAATGTATTGGTAAGTTAATCATATTCAACATTGTTGGTTATCCGATCAATGAAACATAATCGAAGCTCATACAATAAGAATTATGTAGTAAATTACAATTAAATGGACACTCTATTCATTTTTGGGTTAAAACCTCGCTATTTATAAAGTAAGTCTATTAATTAAATGAGTAGATTGGACACTTTTTTTTTTTTAATTAGTGATGGGGATTTTTTCCATAAGGATGAATACCATTTTTCTAATTAAATATTAATTGGTAGCCTAGTGAAGCCTTTCTTCTCATATATATATATATATATTGATTTTTGTTAACATATTCCTGTGACAACTTTTACCTCTACCTTGTGTGTTTGGTTGGGGAAATGAAAAGGAATGAAAAGAAATTAAGGTTCATTTTTATGTTTTGTTAGTTTTAGAAAAAGGAATGACCATTTAAAATGGAATGACTTTTCCATCAAATGGATGGATCATTATTTCTTCCTCATATGAAAGGAATACCCATTCTAAGCTCTTTTAATTTTCCATCATTACCCTTAAATATTATGATTGTATTATAATAACAAATATTATATAACTATAAGTATAATTATATATATTATATCCTTATAATTATATATACATATAATATTAGTTATTAAATGATTATATGAATATATATGATATTAGTTATATTAGCATGAGGGGTAATTTTGTCAACATGAACATATTCATATCTCATTTCATTGCATTTGTAAAAGTAGAACTAAACAAATGAATCATCTTTCCTTTCCATTCTATTATATTACCATTTATATTTTCATTCTCATTACCATTCTCCCACTACAACCAAATGCACCCTTAAGAGAATCTGTCGAAGATGTGGATTGTGATTCAAATATGGTTATTTTTTAAACGTCAAGTTTAATTTGTTGCTAAATATCAGATAATGCATCTCCCGCATTATCAATGTCTCACTAATACATTTTCACTGCAGATTATGACTTAAGATAATAAATTTTAGTTGACAGTTTTTTCAGTTAAAGACAGCTGCGAACAAACGTTAAGTCTAGATCCAATAAACTTTAGATTGAAAGAGAACAACAATTGCGTAAACGTGTTGGTTAGAGAATAGAGACAAGGGTATCACATGAAAATTGTAGCTTAATACAAGTAATAAAACCAATGTTCGAAGTCATATGAAGTGGGAACCCTTGACTTAATTTGATTGCGTAAACGAGTCTGAAATTAATAATAATCAAACACTCATTATTACATTCTGTATGTGCTAATTGAAATTAATGATAAATGGTTTACGTAAAAGTTCAATGTATATCATATTTACACACTACTTTTCATCATGTTGCTTGCTACAAGACAAAATCTGCGAATGAAAAGCAACCTAGTACTTATGGCTTATGATATAATGATGTCGAAAACGACAACAAAAATGAGGGAGAGATTCATAGATTGCCTTACAAGCCTTTTCTTAATGCATTCTTTTAGAGATAATTAAGCTTTGAAAGCACAGTAATTGTGATATTAATTGGGTTCCTTAACGATTGTAGTTCTCACCATTATTGAAAGCAAGTACATTTTTTATAGAAGGAAGATGTGATTAATTATATATTAGCACTATCTAGCACAATTTATTTGTTAATTATATGATAATGTCAGCAATAGCATCTTAATTAGCTACCCTAAAATCATTTTCTACTTTTTTTTTTCCTTTTCTTCTTGTGCTGCAAAGACTAATGAGAGAATTAATAAGCTTCACTAGTTTGAAAGTCCGGGTCCTTAATCTTATGGCACGATGATTTAATTAAGATATCCAAATTTACAAACCATTTCCAAATTAGTTCCTTATCAACCGTGGTAAAGCATGAAAAAAAAATCCATATATTACTTAGTTTACTAGACTAAAAAATTCCATAATCACGAGTTTGAACCGTAATTCAGTATTTTTCTTGTAAAAAAACAAAAATTTGAATTTTCATTCAGAGTAGTTATAGATTTTTAATATTATAAGTATGGATTGCGGGATACATGAAGGCTCCAGTCATGCCAGTTACTAAACTAGATTCCTTACAAATAACGAGTATATTATTGGTAGTAATTAAGGGATAATGCAGCTTATGTGATAGCTAAACATTGTTAGCGAAAATACCGTGTTTAGAATTGATATCGTTTTTGTTTTTCACATTTTTTGAGAAAGAAAAAAATGAAAACGTTTTTAAAACGGCGTTTGGCGCAACAAAGACAAAAAATGAAAATGAAAACAATTTTTTAATTTAGTGTAAAATAAGAGAAAAATAAAAAACGACTTTTAGTCGTTTTTCATTTTTTATTTTCGTTTTCTCCTCTCTCGAGCAGAGAGAAAGAAAGAGAAACATTAAAAGATTTTTTTTACACTAAAAATAATCTTTTAATAAAATTATTAAAGACATTTTTAAAAATAATTTATGTTTAAAATTAAAAATATTTTTATTTTTATATAAAAAATAAAATTATTTTAAAATAAATTTTAAACGCGTTTATGTTTTCTCATTAAATTGGCGGTTGCAGAACCCGGTACGCAACTATATGGCATGGATTTGTGATTTGTCTTAGACAAGGCATAAAAAAAAAATATTGTACATTACGAAGTGTCATTTCTCTCATTCAATTGGTGGTCGGAGATTTCTTTGCCAACCTATACGGCATTAGATTTGTCTTGCACAAGGCATTTCAAGTGGGGACCTTTGATGTCGTACGACATGACCCCAGTCATCTCCAAAAACCCAAGTTTCCAAAACTTTTTGACCATTTCTAGGGGGCAGCTAAAAATCTCATTGTCCTCTCCCAAGGGGGATCATGGGATCTTGTCCTACGGATATGCTATCAATTTGGCATTCCAACAATTCCACTGTATGTTGAATCTTATATGTGATCTTGTATTATAAATATATTTAAATTTTAAATTTAAATTAATAAAATAAACGAGATCATCGTATTCTTAATACATCACGTATAAGATTCAAGTAGGAGGTATTGTATTTTAGCAAAATGTAGGAGGTCTTGTAACATAATAGTTGTTCTATGTAGAAAAGAAACACAATTAAAACATTATACGTGAGGATAATTTTGAAAAGTATTTATGTTCAAATATGTAGGAAATTTTTATTGTAGCCGATGACTAGAGCCAGAATATATTGATAGGGGGGCCAAATTTTTTTTTATCAAAATTATATTAACATGTATATATATAACAGTTTTTATTTATATACGTAACACATGATTGGCCTAATAAAATATAAAGAACTACTAATTTAAAAAGGACCAAATCTAATTTATACAAATACTTACTATATTAAAATTAAAACCACTATATTAAAAAAATAAAAAAAATGTTGGGGCATGCCGCTCCTCCTCCTGCCTCCGTCATTGATGATAATAACTGTTATTTTATCTTGTAAATAGGAATTGTTCGTTTAATGGCTAGGTTAAGTTTTTAAGGGTTTGATTTTTGAGTGTCAATATTAAACACTTATGTTTAGAGTAAGAATTCGTGTTATAATTTAGATCATGACATCTCAAATATAAAATCATTAAAAAAACTAATTTAACAGCCAAATCAACCATTTTTATTGATACGGTAAAATAACACACAAAATAATTACTTACCACATACCATTAAGCAAAGGGTGTGAGACTGTGAGATTGATACAAGTTATGTTTCTTAGTACTAGCAGTGAGAAAATCACTCCAAAAAGTAAAAGAAAAAGAAAAAGAAAGTCCCAGTAAACGACAAAAGGAAAAGCCTCGGATTGGTTCACACATGGGAGGAGCTTCTTTGATGGCAGAGTAAAGAGAGAACAGAGGGGGTAATTTGAGAGCTGAAAAAGACTCAAGGCCTTAGGCTCATTAAGAGTGGAACGTTTTCCGCACCAAATCCTGTGCTGACAGAGGCAACTTACACAGAGTCGTCCGTGAGAAAACGACATGATCAGGCAATGCAAGTTTCAAAAAAAGTGAAAAACGTTTGCGGTGAGTATAGTAAAGCTTTTGGAGCGTCGCGTCTATCTGAACACACCACATGATTCCGCCGCTCCTTGGTTTGTAGTCTTGTGGCTTTTAAAACGAAACCGCCTCTTGATCCACTTTGTTCTCTTCCGTCGGCATTCGGAATCTTGATGAAATAATAGAGGCATTTATAACTCATTTTAAAATAATTTTATTTTTTTATATAAAAATAAAAATATTTTTAATTTTAAATAAAAATTATTTTTAAAAATGTGTTTAGTTAGTTTTATTTAGAGATTATTTTCAATGTAAAAAGAAAACTCTTAATGTCTATCTTTCTCTCTGTTCGAGATGAGAAAACGAAAATAAAAAATGAAAAACGACTAAAAGTCATTTTTCATTTCTCTATCATTTTACACTAAATCAAAAAATCATTTACATTTTTATTTTTTATCTTTATTACGTCAAACGCTGTTTTAAAAACGTTTTTATTTTTATTTTTCAAAAAATATAAAAAATAAAAACATGATCATTTCTAAACGCGGCCAATATTTTGAGCTATCGATCCTGCCTAGCACCACACTAATAAAAAAAAAAGATCTCAATTTATGAAAAATAGTCTTATTTTATCAGTTGCGGTGCTCAGCGTCCGTTGTGCATTTTGCATCTTGACAAGGCAATTTCGTGAAAGTTTTGCCGTTTTCGTTTTTATGTTAAATTGCATAATTGGCTACACATTCAACAGAAAGTGGCCCTCAAAAATTTCTCTCAAGAAGTTTTTCATCATCAAACGGTTGGCAAACTTGTAGATGTGGGATCATGTTTAACGGGCCTGTAACGAGGGTCCCACCCTACACATACACCTAAACTGATTTAAGAGAAGACACGTGGCGTGGAGAGAGACAAGGGGTTCCAATTGGTGCTGAATCCAACCAACCCATTAAACTAACTGGAACGACAAAAGAGATCAATCCACATGAGATCCACTCTCGGATTTTTTGCTGAATCCACTATAGGATTTAAATGATCTTTGCCCAACTACCACAATGCACTTTACTAATAACCGTCTGAAAAATCAAAACAATAAAATAATAATTCAACAAATAAGAGATACGTTTAGATCATAGATTAAATTCATAAGATTAAAACTATTTTTAATTTATGTGTATTTTTTATAAAAAAAAATACTGTAATAAATTATAAACATGATTCAAATCAGAAGATGAATCTCTTAACCAAACAACCTCCTAGAGATCATAAAAAGGGAATGAAATAACACATAAATAAGTTAGAAAAAATACAAAAAATTAAGATATTGCTTGAAGTGAAAAAGTGGGGGGTAAAAAGAGGCTTTAGTCAAAGCACGAGTTCATTAGTTGCACAAACCAAAAGGAAAAGCAAACACACACCAAGAAACGAGGATCCCAGCTTTTTCCTTCCCTATTCCAAAGGATCAAAACCCCTTTGCACTAAAATAAAATAAAATAAAAAGAAAAAAAAACCTATTAACATAAATTGGTAAAGATTAGAGCTTTTTCATACTAAGAAGCTCAAAAGTCTAGAACCAATCAAAATTATTACAAAAAAAAAAAAAATTAGTAAGTTAAAATATATGTTTGATTCGTGCGTTTAATTCAATAATTTTTAATTCGACACTTAAAATTTAAAATTTAAATTTTAAAAAAAAAATATCACGACAGAATTAAAAATTTAAAAGCATCAAACAAACAACTCTAAGTGACCAAGTAAATGGGCATGGCAGAAGTAGAGACTCTATGTTGGTGTTCCATATTAAGCTGCCTTAGGCTGAGATAAGGAATGTCCAGCTCATCCCTGTTCGACGGCGACAAAGTTCCGGCGAGTGGTCCCGACGACGGCCCGTTGGTTCTCCGGCCAGGAGTGGTGGACCCACTTCTGCTTTCCGTGATGTAAACTGGGCCCGAGATTGAGGCCCTAAAGGCCTTGGCCCTCGCTTGATGAACATCTTCAAAGCCATGATGACAATGATGATCATGGTGATGAGTCCATTTCCACTTGAAGAAGAACAGGGCGGTTCTCCACCACTTCTTCTTTCTCCCTTTCTGGGATTTCTTTGAATCGTCTTTTGAGACGGGTTTTTGGAGCTTGAAGTGTATGGAGTCTATGGATCTTGTCGTTTCTCTCTTGTGCTTCCTCGCTTCTTCCAAGACCTTTAAAAAGAAAAGATATTGATGAGAAAAAACGACATCTTTTTTTTTTATGACAAAAAACAAACTCAAAAGGGAAAGATGGAGAAGAAGAAATGAAACCTGAAAGTAGTCGATTTGAGGGTCGAAGCCATAGTCGCTGAAATGTTGAGGTTCTGGCATCGGAAATATTGGGGACTTGTTTGACATGGTTTAGAGTCTTCAACGCCTTAAAGAGAAATCGTCTTCTCTGTTTTTTTTTTTTCCTCCCTTTTTTCACCCTTTTCGTAGGACTATAAAGGAAGACTTTTTAGTTGTTGTTAAGATGGGGTATTTTGGTTTCGATTTGAAGGAGAAGAAAGAGAGAGAAAAAGAGAGAGGAGGAGAGAAAGAGAGAGAGAGAGAGAGAGAGAGAGAGAAATGGGCATTGGGGGCTCAAGTGAGAGTGGCCGTTGGCAATTGGTAAACCCTAGTAAATGTTTTTTTTTTTTCTTTTTCCCTTTGCATCTCTTGAGACTTTTAAAATAAAATTATATAAGTGCGTTTAAAACTTATTTTAAAATAATTTTATTTTTTATATAAAAATAATAAATAAAAATTATTTTTAAAAAATATTTAATAATTTTATTAAGAAATTATTTTTAATATAAAAAAATTTATTAATGTCTTTTTTTTTTTGTATTTATTTTTTTAAAAAAAATATAAAAAATAAAAATAAAACTCCAAACACAACTTATACTATTCCCTGTTTCTCAGCGGTTTGCATTTATTACACGCTATTTCGGCAAACACCAAGTCACGCACCAGGTCATGAGCACATTAAAGTTTTTTTTTTTTTTTTTTAAGGAAAGCACATTGATTAACTTAATAAGTGAAAGAAGGGAGGAAAAAAAAAAACTTTTGGGAGTAATTACTATGATAAGGAAGTTTACACGTTAAACCATTTACATTAATGTCAATTGTATATTTAATATTAAAATCTATGATATGATATATTCTTTTCATTTCTTTCTAATGCATAATATTATTTAAAATATTAAATTTATTTTTTCTTATAATTATTAAACTTTAAAAGTTGTAAAAGTAAACTTTTATTTTTAAAATAATTAAAAAATGTAAAAGTTGCATTGATTACATGAAAAAAAGTAAACATTTTAACCGATAGTAATCAAATGCTAAATTTTTCTTATGCTATATTTTGTGAGAAATTTATCACAAAGTATAACATATAAGAAATTTAATATAACAAATAGTATTGCGTTAGAGAGTGTTTTTTACATTTAAATGTTAAATTTACAATTGACACATTAATTATAGCATTGTATTATAGATGTTTTTGAGCTATCACAATTTGGCACTACTTGTTGGATTGTGAATTTGACCATCGCAGGTTATTAGACTGATGAAACGTTTATATGTGGTTTGGACACTTTTAAGCCTCGTTCGTTTCGCTTATTCGAGTTTAGAATTCGAGTTTTGCTACAGTAAAAAGCTCTCACAAACAATCACATCTAACTTTTTTGCTACAGTAAAAAGCTCTCACATACAATCACATCTCAACTCGAATCAGCGAAACGAACGAGGCCTTAATCTCCCTTCTTTTGAGCTAGTTTTTAGAAATGGGTTCTGCTCAAGGCCTATTAATATAATATCAGAGCCAATTTTACAGATGATGGTAGGTTTTGAGTTTGAAACCTAATCCAACACCCTAATGTGTTGTAAGGATGTTTTTTCCCCCTTCTATTCTCAAGATGTTCCTTTGTTCAAATATTGACATCCCAATATAGAAGGTCTTGCTAGAACAATGGACTATGTAACATTAGACTCACTGTTGAGTCATGCTATATATGTTCCTTTGATGGGAACTAAGATTTTTATAAATAATGGTGATGGAGGGCGGGATGACACCAATAATCTCCTTTTTCATTAGCAAAAAACAAAAAAAAAACAAAAAAAAAAGGTGGAATAGTTAGTGATTGAAGGCTTAGTCTAACATTAAAAAAAAAATGCTTGTTAGCATCATTGGGAGTTAGTGTTCAGCACCATAATTAATAGAATATTAGCCCTGTTTATGGATTTCATTCTTAAAAGTGTGTGATGTTGAATATCATTGGTGTGCTTAATTGTAGAGCCTAATTATTAATATGTCGTAAAGACAATAGGTGGATCAACTTTAAAGGTAAACTACAATAAATCTTATGTGTTCTTTTTTTCTTTTTTCTCTTTTTCTACCATTTGTATCTCTCAGTACTATAGAACCATGAGGTCTAATTCCTGAACAGCCTTTAGCATTGTTTAATGGTAAATGCACATCGGCCATAATAATGAGGTGTGGTGTTTGAATGACTCTATCTCAAATTCAAAGAAACAAAGAGGTGGAATAGTTGGGGGTGCTTGAGAGTTTGATCTTGGGTTACTTTTGTTGCGGTGGTTGGATCTATAAACTATAAAGCATGTGTAAACAAAAAACAATATACATGTAGGGTCGGTAATATGGGTCACGATTCAAAAATGATACAAATTTTATATGTTAGGGTTGAGAAAAAGAAGTTCAGGTCAGAATTGGGTCGACCTGATTTGACACGAAAAATACGGGTATTTCGGGTTGGACCCGCGTAATCTGAATACGACACAAAACTCATATAAAACTAAAAAATACATATATTTTTAATTACATATTTTTTATTTTATTATGAACTTGTGATGTCATAATAGTTATACTCAAAATCTCATACTATTATTTGCTTAATTTCAATGGATGTTACTGTATTTTAGTGTGTTATGAATTTTAAGTTATTTTTAATATGTAAAAAACTAAATAAAAGTATACAATTTTCATGTCAATTTCGGGTTCACAGGTCAATTTCGTGTCACAGGTCATTTTCATGTCGTGTCGTGTCAACCCGTAAAGTGATCGTGTCGTGTTTGTGTTGCGGTTTTTAAAAAATTTCGTATCACGGATCATGTTTGGGTTGACTGTAAATTTAAAAAAATGATCAAAACACGACACGTGATACGAATTGTCACCCCTACATATGTGTGTATATATATTACACAATTTGGCAGTGTGCTTGAGAATTCAATGCCATACACAAGTTATGTGTTGTTACAAAATTACCAAGAGCTGTGTTACTCCTCTTAAGACTAATTTTGTATCACTTTTAAACCAATTGTAAAGTGATAGTGTCCATCATTTTTCAAAGCCAAGGTGATGTTGATATTGCAGGCGAAGAAAAGCAAATATTAACCAAGAATTTGGAGGAAGCTTTTATTGAGAGCGTCAAAAGCTAGCGAAATAAATATTAAAGAGTCAAAATCAAATCTCACTGAATATCCGTTCATAGCATAGTGAATTAATTATGACGTTACAGTTGGTTATAGTTTGCCTCAATCCCAAGTAAGTTCGACGTTATTATGGGTTTTTATTGGGAACCTCATGGTCCCTGTGTTTTTTTTTTTTTTCTCTTAAAAAAAATAAAAATTTTTCCGTTCATTTTTACTGATTTGGGTTAAAAATTCAAATTTTATTACAGTAAAAAGTTTTCAGAAACAATCACATCTAACTTTTTTACTACAATAAAAAAAATTCTCACATAAAGTCACATAATTTAAATTAAAAACTCAAATCAGTAAACTGAACAGGTCCCGTCTATAACTCGAATCTATTTCTCTGTATCATCTAATATATTTTCATAAAATGAACTGTTTTGAGTACCTTTAGTCTTAAATATTGTCCCGGCGCAAGCAAAGTACGTAAATAATTGACTATTTACTATTATGTATTTTATGATCAGTATCCACTATATAGAAATCTAAAGATATGATATGATCTTTTTTATATAAAATTATGGACCACAGATGAATGAGTACAACTTGTAAATCCCTAGTGAAACTAAAGCTAGCAACAAAAGGAAAAGGAAAAGGGAAAAAAAATGCAAAACTACCCTTTTATAAGTCACATTTTTATTATTTTTCTCCTTAATTCTAACAGTATCTTTTTTAGAATAGTTCAACTTAAAAAACTTAAATAAAAAGGGGGATACTAAATTAAAAGAGCAATATTGATTTCACATTACAATCAATTCTAGAAAAATTTCAAAAGGAAAATAGAATGGTTGTAGGCAAAGCTTTTATTAACTTTATTTTGCGGCCCAAAAAAAAAAACGTTTTTTTTTTTTTCCTCTTTTGTAAAAAAAAAAAAATGTCTATTGATCCCTAAACATCATAGTAGTTGTGGATAGAGATAGATAAGGATTAAGCAAAGGGAGAAAGAGAGAAATATATTAAGACTTGAGATGAATTAAAATTAATAGGTCAATAGTTTATATAAGCTAATAAATAGGTTAAATTACTGTTTTTGTCCATAATTTGTCTAGTTATAAACCATAACTTGACAACTTATTGTCCATAACTTATCTGGTTATGAACTATAACTTGACAAATTTATCCATAATTTATCTGATTATTAATCATAACTTAACAAGTTATTGCCTATTAATTTCTATAACTAAAAATTAATCTATATACTTTCTTAAGATTTTCATATTGACCTATTTCCTACTATTTCCGTCAAGCAAAACCAATGGCGGCTGCCCACCAAATAGTATAGAGATATAGTCCCTTACTCTATTCCTTCATGGTCTTGATGGATGAGCATTACATGTGATGTGTTGGTTGCTTTTGATAACTCTAGCTAATACTATTCTGAAGAAATCATCACGTATCACAAGAAAAATAAATCACTTAGTGGATGTTTAGTTCATGTATTTAGAATTATGATTTAGAATCATTCTCAATTTACGTGTATTTTTTTTGAGAAAAAAATATTGTAACGAGTTAGAAATCATGATTCAAACTATGACACGAATCTTCATACCAAATACTCAAGAGTTTAAGAAAGAAAACACGAGAATTCTCAAAAGAAAAAAAAAAGAACATGTGTAGAAAAAGGAAAAAAAGAAAACACGGATTGGTTTTGAAGCATTAGTTTTATTAAGCAATTTTGAATACGAAGGAGTAAAACAAAAAAGACGGCATGGTGTAAGAATGGGAGACGTAATCAGCCTTTTGGTCAAAATTTCTTGTGAGCTTTGAATTGAATACACGTGGTGTAGAGAGTGATTTTTTTATGGAGACTTTTCTTATGATAATAGAGAGCTGATAAATAGATGTTTGCTAATTAAGCTTATAGATGTCGCGTTGACTCACCAATTGGATTAATAAAAATGTGGAATTTTAAGCCCTTTTTTTTTTTCCTTCTTTTTGGTATCATCGTGTTTCGCATGTACACACCAGAGTAAAAAAAAAGTCAAAAAGTCAGTTGTGGATTATCTATCTATGTTCAACCCGTTGAACCCGTCTTTTTAACTCAAATTTACTATTTAATTTTTAGTATCTTATAATTAGTGTCTAATCAATTATAATGAGATACGCATTATATTAATTTAAATATTTAAAGTGAGAAAGATAGTTAAAAAAAATTCAATTTTTTAAATAATATAGTATTCTGAAATTGGACAAGTGATTTGAATCCCCATCTTTCATCATTGTTTTGGTTTCCAAAAGAGAATGTATTAGAGCTATCCCCATTGCAATATCAAATGGATGAATCAAAGTCAAATTTTAACATTTGTAAAAGTATACTTCGGGTTAAAAGTGTCAAAAATGCTAAATTTATCATTTAGTTATTATTGGTTGGTATTGTAACTTTTTTTTTTATTTAATTTACTATGACATTGTTCTTTTTAAATTATTTTAGTATTAAAAGTTTAATTTTATAAGTTTATGATAAAAATTAGATATAACATTTAAAATAACATTTTTATAAATTTACGATAAAAAGTAAACATAGCATTTAAAATAACACCATATATCAAATACGCCACTTTTACATCTTGTAACGATAAATATCGCATTAGTGCTATTGAAAAAAAAAAAAAAAAAAAAAAAAAAAAAAAAAAAAAAAAAAACTAAAAACAGTGGAGCAATTTCTATTTTGCTTTCTGTTCTGCAGCCGTGGATAAATCCTGTACAGCCCATACCAGAAAGCATGAGGCCGAAAAATCCTTTGGAGTTCAATCTCTCACTACCCATGTGTGTAGCCAGGCCCATGAGAGACAAGCCATAACGGGCAAGGAAAAAAAACGAAAATAATAGAAAATAGGCTAATATAAAAAGTTTAAGAAAATATATAGGTCAATTTTTAGTTATAGAAATTAATAGGTCATAACTTATGAAGTTATAGTTCATAACCAGATAAGTTATAGACAAACTTGTTAAGTTATAGTTCATAGCTAGATAAGTTATGATCACAAACCGTGAATTATAGACAATAACTTGTCAAGTTATAGTTCATAACCAGACAAGTTATGGACAAAAATAGTAATTTGGCCTATTTATTAATTTATGTAAACTATTGACCTATTAATTTTAATTCATCTCAAGTCTTGACCTATTTCCCTCTTTCTCCCGAAAAAAAAAGAAGGTTAATAATTAAGGGAAAAAAAATAGTAAACAGGATCAGAACAAAATAATTAAATAAATAAATAAACAGGAAAGGATGTGAAATGTGGATCTTCATCCACGTTTTGTATATACGACAAGACAGCTACTCTGTAATGAAGGAAATTTTTTCTAGATATATCAAATCATTTTACTATCATTTTTATACCAATTAACATGATGAGTAGGTTGTATTTTTCTAATTTTGAAGCATAAAATTTTAATATTACTAATGTTTAGGATTCCGCATAAGCTATAGAAAACGTTAGGATAGACGAGTTTTTTTATGTAAGAATAAAAGAACTTGTCATGATAGCTAAATAGCCAAAAACTAAAAGGAAGAAAGAAACAAGAAACATTACGAAGCTATTACAAATTTATTATCCAGAATATCTAACAACGTTGTCCTTGTTTATTAGTCATGAAAAATGTCATTTTTAAAAATACATTTGGTAATTTTATCAAGATATTATTTTCAATATAAAAAACTTATTAATATCTCTCTCTCTGCTCGAGAGAAAAGAAAACGAAAATAAAAAATGAAAAACGGCTAAAAGTTATTTTTCATTTTTATCTCATTTTACACTAAATTAAAAAATCATTTTCATTTCTGTTTTTTGTCTTTATCGTCAAACACCGTTTTAGAATCATTTTTTTCTCAAAAAACGTAAAAAACATAAACATGATCAATTCTAAACATGTCTTACATATCGGTTATATAAATTGAATAAACCACATGGGCTTTTTAACTAGAAGGCAAAAATTGATTTTGCTTCGGAAAAGGTTGTTGCATCGTAGTCGGGAAAAACTTGAGATCATGTCATTTAAACTTGGACAAACCTTTGTCGCAAATGCAAAATTGTGGTTTCATTTTAAACATTGAACGACATCTCGTTTTACATCAATATATAATGTATTACGTTCAATAGCGAATCGAGATCTATTATTTTATTTTTATGTCTTGGTAGCTGTCTTTCAATTAAATTTTGACTTTTAAGTATTTTAAGTATTTTGTTAAATAAAGTTAAATTTCTAAATTTAAATTGTATGATAAATAATTAGTGAAAAATTGAGATAAAAAAATGAAGATAATAGATCTAGGCTCTTCAATAGCGGAAAAAAGAGAAAGGGTGTTGGTGTTTCAGTTAAATGTTGTTTATCTTGGTCCTGCAATAAATGTCGTTTTAGTAAATGACGTGGCATGTTTTATGCTGTCCGTCTTCTTGGTATATGGAAAAACGACACGTGTTTCTTGTTGTCGTTTCCATCAAATTAAACGGTTTTTTATCAAGTGAGATGACGTGTCATCTTTCCTTCAAATTACACGCATGTTTAACTGATTATTACGTATGCACTACCAATAAAAAAAGAATGTCTAGTTCGTTTTACAAATTTAATTTTTTAATTTGAATTAAAATGTAATATTTTTTAAGAATTTTTAATTATAACAGAAAAAATTAGACGTCATATTTTAAAAAAAAAAAAATTTATAAAAATTTAGAACAGAAAACTCAAATCGATGAAATGAACGAAGTCAAAATTTATATTAAACAAAAATAAATTCTTATTAAAATAATAATAATAATGATAAAATAATCAGAAGTTGATTTCTCAACTTCACTGAGAGAAATATCCCCATATTCAGCTTGCAGTTGCATAATGGCAAAGGCAATTATTTATTATTTATTTATTTAAGTGGGTTTGCGTCAACATGAAACAGAATATGAAAGGAGAACAAGAGAGTTCTCACTCATTTTTCTCAAGTTTAATGAGTTACGAAAAGGAAGAAGACTTTTAGACTAGTAATAGTAAATAACCCTTAAAAAAAAAAGATTTTTTATTTCTTGACAAATGGTAAGAAAGCGGAGGAGGGCAAGAAAAGCAATTTCAAACAGAAAAACGCGTCAACTGTGGCGTCTGAAGTTTACTTGGCGACTGTGAAAAAATACAACTTTTCGAAAGTCCAAAGAGAGCCGAAAAAAAAAAAAAAGAAAAAAGAAAACCACTTTAAACTCCTCCACTATCCAAACCAAACTTCCAAGAACCTTCCCTGTCCTCTCTCTCTCTCTCTCTCTCTCTCTCTCTCTCTCTCTCTCTCTCCTCCCCCTTTTTAATCACTTTCGTGCCCCCCACTCCTTTCCCACTCCTCTGACGCTTAAATTCTCCTCCTCACTATCTCTCTCTGACATTTCATCGAACACTTTTTCTCCCAAATGGCTGAAAACCATGGCGAACGCGCGCGATTCCCAAACGACAATATCCCCATCCGATACGACGATAAAGGATACGCCATTAGCGGCAAGATCATGCTGTGCGCCATAGTCACCCTCTTCTTCGTCGTCGTCATCATGGTCTTTCTCCACCTCTATGCCCGCTGGTACCTCCTCCGCTCCCGCCACCGCAACCACCGCCGTAACCGACGCCGCAACGGCAACCGCCTCGTCTTTCACGTCGACAACAACTCCGCCGCCGCCAACCGCGGCCTCGACGCCGCCGTACTCACCTCCCTTCCGGTCTTCGTCTTCAAAACCCTACCGGAAGATTCTGATTCCGCGGCGCCGATTGAGTGCGCAGTTTGCTTGTCGGAGTTCGAGGACGGCGAGGCCGGCCGCCGGTTGCCGAAGTGCGGCCACTCCTTCCACACTGATTGTATCGACATGTGGTTCCATTCTCACTCCACTTGCCCTCTCTGTAGATCTCCGGTCGAGCCGGGCGCCGATCCCGAGATCCGCGTCGAGATCGGTGAAACGGAGCCCGGTCCGGAGGAGCCGAACGCGACCGGTTTGTGCTCCGAGTGCGACGGTGACGCTTCTTCTTCTTCTTCGTCGGCGATGGAAGCTCGGAGAAAGAAGAAGCCGGTGAGCGTCTCGATAGAGGTGCCGAGGAGGTCCGCGAGCTTCGGGAGGGAAGGGGACGACAATTCTCCGGCCGGCCATACGCCGTCGTTTCGGTCGCCAATGAGCAGGATGTTGTCGTTTAAGAGTCGTATGTTGTCGTCGTTCCGCTCTCCTACGGCGGCGGCTACTACGTCGGCGAGTTGTAGTTCGGTCAACGAGTTGGACCTGGAACGGGGAAAGGACGGGACTCAGTGAACTCGGCGGTGACTCAATGGGGGTGACGTGGCATTGCGTTGTAGAGAGTGGAGCCTTTTTTTGACTCTGAAATTCGGCGGCTTATCTTTATAATTTGGCGCACACTCGTCTCTAGGGTTGAGGGCAAATGTGGAATTTTGAGACACGTGGCGTAATGTGAGCGGTCATGGATTTGTCGCGCTGCCGTAGTATGACTAATTAGTTTGTTTGATCAGCTGTACATAAGTATCACATTCTTTTTTCCCCTCAAGGAAAAGAAAAAAAAAAGAAGAAATATCCCATTTCATTCATAATTTGTTTTTTAAATTTAATGATGTAAAGAAAAGATACCTTTCGGGTAGGGCTCTATTATATGAGAAAGTCAGTTCTGTTTTTGAATTATTGGGTGTTAAACGTGTTTGTTTTTTTTTTTTATTAATTATGGGTTAAAATATTAAAATTATTGGCTATGTTTAAAATTGATTCTATTTTATTTTTCACATTTTTTGAAAAAGAAAAAATTAAAACGTTTTTAAAACGACGTTTGACGTAATAAATATAAAAAATAAAAATAAAAACGCTTTTTTCGTTTAGTGTAAAATGAGAGATAAATAAAAAATAATTTTTAGTCGTTTATTATTTTTTATTTTCGTTTTCTCCTCTTGAGAATATAGATAGAGATACATTAATGAGGTTTTTTTATATTAAAAATAATCTCTTGATAAAATTACTAAACGTATTTTTAAAAATAATTTCTATCTGATATTGAAAACGTTTTTATTTTTATATAAAAAATAAAATTATTTTGAAATGAGTTACAAACACATCCGTTGATTCGGTGTATTATTTTTCAATTCAACGCCAGTGAGAATGTTAGTTGATAGTTCAAATAAATAATTTGATCAAGTTTTAAGGGCCATGTGATTCGTTGGGGCTTGTCCTCCCTCTACATGCATCTCCTCCATATATGATATATTGACAAAATGTTAGTATGATTTTTTTTGTTATTCTCTTTATCATTTTTTATTTTTATTACTTGGCACGTGTAATTTACTAATATAATATATTATTATTTGAACAGAAAATGAGATAGTGGAGTCCACATGTCAAACAGTGACAAAACGAGTGACATAAAGAGTATCAAACAGTGAATGTAAAAAGTGACAGAAAGAGTAACGCTAACATTTCTCATGATATATTTTGGACTTTCCCACTAAAAGTTTGATGACCTAATTTATTTGTTCCAAAATCAATTGAATCTTATGTTTCCAAAACATTTTGTGAACTAAAGAACAAACTCATTGCTTAAATTTTACATGCTCTAGTAAGTCAGTATTACTGGTAGTATTAAGTTCTGATCGTTAAATTATGTTAAAATCACATTAGATTAAAAAAGTATGTATAACATACATTTTTTAATATAAATTTAACAACTGAAAATAAAAAATTACTGATATTTTATTTTTTCTAATTCGTCGGAGAACCTCCCCAAATTTTAAGATACGTCGAGCCAATTGTATTATATTATATGCAAGAGCCTTGTCTTCTAAGATGAATCTAATTATTTCAAAGGGTTTAACGGAGTATGTTTAGAACTTGTTATAAAATGATTTCATTTTTTATATGAAAATGGAAATGAAAACGTTTTCAATCTCATACAGAAATCATTTTTAAAAATGTGTTTGGTAGTTTTATTAAGAGATTGGTTTTAGTATAAAAAAAGTCCGTTAATCTCTCTTTCTCTACTCGAGAGAGGAGAAAACAGAAATAAAAAATGAAAAATGACTCATTTCTCTATCATTTTACACTAAACTAAAAAATTATTTTAATTTTAATTTTTTGTCTTTAATTATGTCAAACACCGTTTCTCTACCGTTTTTCATTTTTTCTTGCTTAAAAAACATGAAAAATAAAAACAAAAACAACTCCAGCAAAACGTCTGAACATTCTCTTAATAGCCTCACTTTATTTTATTTTATATTCCATTCTGTTTTAAAAATTTAGGCGGTATTGGAGCTCTAAACCTTGATACTAGTTTGTACAATAAAACAGCTATAATAATAACCAATGGCTATCACCAAGCTTCAAATTTCACACGGTTTATAGCTTAGCAAAAAAACAAAAAAAAAAAACAAAAAAAAATGGTCAAGTTTTCACACTTTTATTCCCTGTCAAGGGATGACAAATGTCACAGTTTTGTTGTGTCCCACCTATTAGTGCGCAGCCTGCGTGGTGGCTATACCTTATTTGTACCGAACACGAGACGCAATTGTGTCTTTGTGCATGCCAACGGACAGTGACAAGAAATTTAAACCCAATGCAATAAAATGTTGTCATGGCAAGTTTATTTAAGTTTCAAATAATTCATTATAAAAAAGAAAGTTGCAAATAATTTAGTAATAGTAGTAAACGATAGATGATGAGACTTGAACCCCTATACCAATTTCCTAAAGTTGATAATTAAGTAAAGAAATATGTAAACGGTGTAAACGGGATCCAACTTTTATCAGTGATAATGCTTACCACAGCTAACTACCTCTCCATAAATAAACGGCTTCATATGAAACATGTTGGCGTCACGACGGACGCGTTTGAAACTCACTTTAAAATAATTTTATTTTTTATATAAAAATAAAAATAAAAATATTTTTAATCTCGGACATAAATTATTTTTAAAAATACATTTGTTAGTTTTATTAAGAGATTATTTTCAGTATAAAAAACTCATTAATGTCTCTCTCTCTGCTCGACAGAGAAGAAAACGAAAAATAAAAAATAAAAAATGATTAAAAGTTATTTTTTATTTCTCTCTCATTTTACACTAAACTAAAAAATTATTTTCATTTATGTTTTTTTATCTTTATTGCATCGTTTTTAAAACGTTTTTATTTTTTTTTAAACATAAAAATTAAAAACGAAATTAATTCTCGTTGGTGGAATTTTTTTTAGCATAGCGATATTACAAACCCGATACATCAGACCTTGGAAGCTTCTAGTTTTATCGTTTGCATAAACCAAATAATAATAATAATAAACAAAATTTTTGTATCATATTATAGTGGTTTTGTCTCTCACAACTTTTTGTGGGAACTGACTCCTCCAAATTCTGTGGTTTTGCCTGCTTGCCTTGGCTTCCTGTTCCATACGCGTTTTCTACTGCAGTACTGGTACGATGACCCAAAAGATAGAGAAGAGAAAAAACAGAAAAAGTTTTTAGTGCGTTTTTTCACGATTTAAATTTTTATGTTAAAAAAAATATTATAATAAAAAATTTTAAATTTAAATTTTTATTAGAAAAAATATTATAATAAAAAAGTTTAAGCGTGAAAAAAATAAGAACACGCATTTAGTCCGTTCCTAATTTCCTACCACAGAATAGATTTTTCGATTCTTTTCTGTCTGTTATTGTAGGAATAGACCCCTAATCCATGTGTTTTATACCTACATGCATATTTTCACTTCTTCAGTGTTTGAAAGTTGAAAACGATCTCATTCGTTAAAATTTTTACAACTATATATATATGTATTGAAAGGTTAAATTCGTTTTTTTCATCATCCAATGACATGAAAAATATATAAATGAAGGCTTGATTCATTCCATCGATTCAAATTTTTAATTTTAATTTTGTTACAGTTAAAAGATCTCATAAAAAGTCACATATAATTTTTTTTTATAATAATAAAAAGCTCTCACATATAATTATATCTCAACTTAAATTAAAAATTCTAATCAACAAAATTATAGACGTTGTAATTCCCTCCTTAACAAGGCAACCAAATTTCAAAGGCAATGCTTGGACTTGAGGAACACGGTACACTTTTCTTGATCCATTTATGATCCACAGTGAGAGAGTGAATTCTTGAGATGGAAAGAGCCTAAGGGCTTGTTTAGTTCGCTGATTCGAGTTGATATGTGATTTTATGTGAGAGTTTTTTACTGTAATAAAAAAGTTAGATGTGATTGTTTGTGAGAGCTTTTTACTGTAATAAAACTCGAATTCTAAAAAGTCAAAGAGAAGACTTGTTGTTCATTGTTGGCTGCCCCTTAGCTTACTCTAACTCGTCCATTTCTAATACTTTCCAAGTAAAAGCCACCAAGAAGGACGGATTAAGAAGTTTCTGATTTAAGGAATCTCTTCCTCCCTTTTCGCTTGGTAACTCAAGGGGTAGATGAAGTTACCAATTCAGAAAAGTTTTAAAAATTTTACAAAAGAGGTAGTTTTTTTTTTTTTTTAATTTTTTTTTGAGAGCAAGGGTAGTGCAATTTTAAATAGCCTTTTTTCTTTTGTTTTATTATTATTATTTTTTTTTAAGAAAAGACCATCAATGCCTTTATTAAAAGCACACGTACAAGTCATGTGCAAAAAATCGTCCAAAAATTTAATAGACGTTTTAAAAAGACCACTAATTATTACAAGGAGTCGGTTGCAAAAATTTCCCGTTCACTTTGCTAATTTGAGTTTAGATGTAATTTTATGTGAGAACTTTTTACTGTAATAAAAAAATTAGATGTGATTATTTGTAAGAGCTTTTTACTGTAAAAAAACTCGAATCAGCGAAGTAAACGGGGCCGATATCACATCCAAAATTTAAGGGATCTCATGAAAATATAACCTGAGGGCTCACTCTCATGGGCCCACCGCCCACCTAAAGCTCCCAACAACACTGTACTTGCTCTTCACACGCCTTGCCAGAATCTCTATACTTAACCCGGAAATGATTCTTTTATTGCATCTGGCTCTTTGCTTAGGCATTTGGCTATTTGCTATAGGAAATGGCAAGTTATCTTGTCTGCTTAAGCGAAAAAAATGATCATATGAACCTTTAAGATGATAACACGTCAAATCAAGAGAGCAACCACTCCAATTTAACATTCAGATACAAAGTCAGGAGCTGCCTACGCCTAAAATAGTAGTTGAAAGCCATATCATTTGGTAATTGATTCTTTATTATGTAAAGTCACAAGCACAATGCTGAGAGAGAGAGAGAGAGAGAGAGAGAGAGAGAGAGAGAGAGAGAGAGAGAGAGAGAGAGAGAGAGAGAGAACAATAGTTGTTTCTTAACATAAAGCAAGAGGTTTTATTGGAAGGCCTAGAGCCAAGGCCATCACAAATGATCAAATAATACAAGAATAATGTCTTACCTAATGATTACATGCGAGTTATGTCATTAAATATTTTACACAACGAATTTTATCGTCGTTAGTTTTACCTACATCCAGAGTAATGAGATCACTCCTAGCTGTTTTTGATTATCTATAGAAAGAGAATTTCCTTAATGGTAAAAACAATGGGGACTAATACGCAAAACGACATCCGTGTCACCCTGCAGAATGTAGATCAACAGGCTCAACAAGCCTAGACCTTCTTCTCTTCTTTCCTTCAGGAGTGCACCGCAGAGCACCAATCTTTTTTACAGAAAATTTGCCATTCGGTTGCGATGGTGTCTCCCTTGATCCAAGTAAGTTAGACGAATCGACCGAGGGAGATTTAGATTTGTCTATCCCAAAGTTTTCATTACCACCCTTTCTAGATGATTTTCTTGCTGGAGACTTGACTCTCTTTCTAGACAAGCGAAAACAAGCTTCCTCCCTTCCCTTGTCATGGCTAAGGAGCCGAATGTGGAAAGGATTCGCCGTCGTATAGCAGAGAGACTGACAATCCACCCCACTTCTCTCCAACTCAACATCCCCATTGTTCACCTGAAAATCACAGGAGAACAAGAATGGACTCATTATGATCCAAAAGCAAGTACCCACTTTCTGGAACACCCAAAACTCATAGAGAAGTTTAGACATTGTGGAAATTTATGTACGGGCATGCATGTACATATGCACGTAAATATGTCTATTTGTTAGTAATAACCAATGCAGTATAAGTTTTGGCTAACTTGATGATGTTGTTGGATAGGAGGAAAAGTCCTACAGATAAGTTAAGACAAGGGAGTTACCAGTTGAAGAAGTGCAGAAAAGCTCCGAGCCACATGATATTTCTCTTGCCCTTTCACCACATCAGCAAATGACAAGACATTCGTATCTTCTGCTTCAAGGGATAGTTTGTTGAGAATTCTTTCGCCATACTTGTGAATATCAAATTCGGGGTGCGAGTCCTAGCCAAAAAAAAAAAAAAAAGGATTATTTTAATTCTAACAACGAGAGAAAATTGAGAGTAAAGTACAAAATATTGGCAGCGTTTTAAAAATAAACAAATTGACGCATAGAAAGGGAACAAAAGTAGATAAACTTACTTGCTCTTCCAAGTTGCGCTCAACTTTCTGTTTCCACGTAGTAACCCGTGCAGCCAATTCACTCTGCTTCTCAGTTTCAGCTATGCTTGCGAGGAGAGCATCCTATATAATGGAAAATGATTCGCAAACACCAGTTGAAGTTATCATTTAAAATTAAAAGGCATAAAACCATCCGCACAAGTGTATAATAGTTGATCCCACAGAGGAGAAATAAATATTAGAAACAAGCATAACTTGAAGCAAAAACAAACCTATATATAACATTAACAATATTTAGCATTTTTTAGAACCTACATAGAACTCCCTCTGTTTTCCAAGTGAGTTTATACTTTTTGCCTTTTCAGCTCAAACCTATTTATTAAAATAAATGCATGCAACCGAGTCACCACAAAAGCCTCACCCAACAGAACGGAAGAATGAAAGTTTAAAAGCATATATATATATATATATATATATATATATATAAGCTTGTCGGATAGAACGCAATTTAACTAAAAATCACCAGTGTAAGCAATAAGCAAAAGTCAAAGACTTGTGCTTACTAGGTGAGAGCGGCATAGATCTTCTAGGTTTGTATGAGAATTTGCATCGTCATGTCCAAAAGCATCATCACCGCCAAAGTTAGGACCATCTCCATCTTGCTGAATGGAGATTGGAGATCAATGAATAAACAATCAAAAGTATTTCCCAATGGTTCATAATATATATATAGAATAAGAAAATTACAATTGGCCAAACCTGTTCATTGTGAAAAGGTACATCTTCATCCATGTACTCTGGCATGTCATCATCAGGTTGCCCAAAATCAGGAACTCCATTATCATTTTCATTTTCCTCATTGCAATCCTCTGGATTGAGGAAGGCATCAAAAGTTTGATTTCCATCGCTAATAAGTTGTTGCCTCAGCTGCAATAAAGATCCGTCATATCACAAGAAAGGAGGCAAATAAAGCAACTAAACTTCCAGCTTAAAAAGGGGAAAAAGAAAAAGAAACCTTTTCATATGGTGGAGGAGATTGAGACTCCCTCCGCCTTTTTTGTCTTTCATGGGCATGATTTCGCATCTCCCATATTCTCCTAAGGTCAGGGCTTATCGTACCATGCAATCTCGCAGGAGGAAACAATGTAGATATCAATACACGCTTAACCCTGACCCCGTTCCTTTTAGGAGCTTTAACTGTTATGGAAAAAAAAAGGAAAAAATCAAGAGGACAATATTGTAAGATGCCTAGCAAAATTTAAAAACATAGCAAGCTAAAGAAACCAGCATTGAAATGACCTTTTCTAAAAGGTTTGATTTTCAAATTTCCAGGTTCATGGGGATTCAAAGGCCTCCAAGGATCATCATCATCATCTAAGTCATCAAAGTCTCCAGGTTCCGAATGCCTATCATCCATATCAAATCCATTTTTGCTATCATTAAATGTATTGGGAGCAGGAGGATCAGGCCCAATGTCGGAGTGATTAACGTCAAAGCTGCAACCAACCAGTGGAGACAGATTGATATTAGCATCCTGGTTCTTTCTAATGGATGACTTATAAGATGCTTCCCCAGAGTGTCTAGTAGGAGACTGGAAGCTTTTGTGAGCCATGCTTCCCTTATAAGCACTGTTCTTCCCTCTACCATCTTTATCCCCATCCAAATACTCATGAACTGCGGTTGCATCACACGGATCTAATAAAATGAAGCCTCGAAAAAGATCACTGGTGGCCAACTGCAATCATATTTGATACAATCAATGAATAGAGAGCCTACAAACATCAAGCAAGTGATGAACCTTTTCAACAAATGGAAACAAGTATAGTACCAGATACGATTCCAATTCCCCGGCATCACCACCACTATCTAAGCAATCACCTTCAAACACAACTAGATTTGCTGGGGCCTTCACAAAACAATTCAAAGAAGCGTCTCTATCCAATGTAGAATCTAAGCAGATATTTGCTTCCACTGCAAAGGGATTCTTCTTAAGCTACTTATTTCACAATGAACTTCTCAACCTAAAATTATCAAGAGCAAAAACTACCTGGTATATCATCTAAGTCCCAGAACAAATCATTTTCTTCATCGGCAACTTTCTTAGAACCAGCTGCACTTTCTTGAGGCTGATCTGGTGTCCCCTCTAATTGTTCTTCCTGCCTACATTCCCCAAAATCAAAGAAAGATAAAAATTCAAAATTTATTAGGAACCCATTATTGGTTTTCTCAAATTACTAAAAAGCATTGAAATTTGGAAAGATATATACTTGGGCAAACTTATATGGTTCAAAGAACTTAAATGGCGACACATAATAAGTCACAAAAGCAAATCTTTGTTGCCCTAATTTTCTAGACCATATTGAAAAGAAAAAAGTATTTGTAACTAAAAGAACAAACCTTTTACGAGAAAGGAACTCTAAAGCACGCAAAACCAACGAATAGAGATATTCGACCTTTCGACTATACACCTGAACCGAACCCTGAAGCAGTAAAGCAGCTACAAACCCAGAAAAGAAAATTTGAAAAATTAAAATTTTTTTTTTTCTAAATAAATAATAAATTGAATGGGCATAACGGAAAAGGCATACCTTCAGCGAAATTGACCGGAATAGGAGCGTCGTCACCGGTAGGAATCTCGCCGGAGCAAATCTTTAACAAATAGTCCTCGAGTTTGTGCGCAAGGTCTACTTCCCAATTCGACTCTGGGTCACGCTCTGCTGTAACCCTGTGGAATCCTCCTCCGCCGTTGCCACCGCCATTGTTGTCGTCTTTACCGTTACTCATTCTGCGTCGAGCGAATTGGAGCGTATCGAATTGTGGCGGCGTTGGAGTCTCATTTGGAAACCCTAAAGTTTTGAGCTCTGGGAGGAAAGGTTCGAGAGAAGGCGAAAATTTTGGGGCTTTGATTGGTTGCCGAGAAAAATGAGAGGGAAAATGTGAGAAAATGGGAGAAAATGTGTGGGTAATGGTGGAGCTTTGTTTACGGGGAGTGGGGGAGGAAAGAGAAGAAAGAGGGAGTTCAAAACAGGTTTCGATTAATCCTTTCCCGCTTCCTTTCCTTGTGATTTCTTTGGCATAGCATTTTTTTATTTTTATTTTTTCCCTTAATTTTTATATAATGTGCTGTTTTCCTTGGGCCGAATTTAGGCCCAAAGTCTGGGGAATCTTCTAACGATGGCCCATGGGCTTTATTGAATGGAGATTGGAGATCAATGAATAAACAATCAAAAGTATTTCCCAATGGTTCATAATATATATAGAATTAAGAAAATTACTGTTGGCCAAAGCTGTTCATTGTGAAAAGGTACATCTTCATCCATGTACTCTGGCATGTCATCATCAGGTTGCCCAAAATCAGGAACTCCATTATCATTTTCATTTTCCTCATTGCAATCCTCTGGATTGAGGAAGGCATCAAAAGTTTGATTTCCATCCCTAATAAGTTGTTGCCTCAGCTGTAATAAAGATCCGTCGTATCACAAGAAAAGAGGCAAATAAAGTAACTAAACTTCCAGCTTAAAAATGGGAAAAGAAAAAGAAACCTTTTCATATGGTGGAGGAGACTGAGACTCCTTCCGCCTTTTTTGTCTTTCATGGGCATGATTTTGCATCTCCCATATTCTCCTAAGGTCAGGGTGATATGAACCTCACCAACGACACGATGAGACCAAACACCAAACGCGGATTACAACCCTAATATCTTCAAGACGTAAGATTATTGAACCTTAACCTGTCGTCTATCAAGACGCGAATCAAGAACTACGAAAGATGAGGCACACTAAAATTATCAAGAATCACCCGTTAATCTTAATGATAAGTTCGATTGTTGAACGCCAGAAGAAAAATACTTGATAAGTTCAAAAGTTCTCTCAAGAACTAAGAAGAACAAAATATGCAAAACCTCAATATGATTATTCAATGATTCGTGAAAAACAAGTTTAACATCCATATTTATATATGATGCGATTTTAACCCTAAAGAAAAACTAAAAACGTTTAATTATCTAAGTCTAGGCCCAAACTTGGCATCCCTATTCTAATTCCAAATCCAATTCGGACCTATACAATTCCAAGGCCAATTCGGCCACAAATATTTCCCTAGGCCCAATTCGGCTAATTTAAGTTGGACTCCCTTTGCTAAGCCCTTTGCAATTCCACTTGAATCTTCTAGAACCTTAATCATTGTGACTAGGTTCTCTTCATTCGGATTTGGTCTTGTGTTGGGCCTCTAAGTGTTTGCCATGTCTCCAACTTGTTGAACCAGCCCGTTCCATGAATCTCTTGAATGTTGCGTTAGTCCTTGTGCTCCACCTATCGCATCATTCTCTCCCTCTTGAAAATGATTTGTCCTCAAATCGTCACCTCTTGGAAGAAGTTTTGAACATCTTTGCTCGGGATTACTTCGATAGGTAGGCCGGTTTGGAATTGATGCACCGGATATGAAGTCAATTTGATGTTCAATTCCCCGAATTGAAGGTAAACTAGAAGGCATCTCTTCATGAATTGGATCCTCAAACTCCTGCAAAAGAGAAACAACGTTGCTCGGCAAAGAACCGGCAAGATCGTTAGTATTTAAAAGGGCCTCCTTGTACATGAATACTATAAGGGGCTGTTCTGAAAGTAGAGCTCTCTTAATCTCCTTTTCTCTTCTCTCTTTTGCCTCTCTTTTATCCTTTACTTTTTGCATCTTTAGTTGGTCTTCAAGAACCTGTTTGGGAGTCAATGGGACAAGGGATATGGGTTGCCTTTTAATGGTAAAAGAGTACCTATTGGTGAAACCGTCATGTGTGACTCGCCGACTGTACTACCATGGTTTTCCTAATAGGATGTGACATGCGTGCATAGGTACCACGTCACAAAGCACCTCATCCTTATATTTCTTAATGGAAAACGTCACGATCACCTGTTTTGTTACCTTGATTTCTCCGCAATTATTCAGCCATTGAAGCCGGTATGGTCGTAGATGTTTCAAGGTAGGTAACGCCAATTTCTCCACAACTTAGGTGCTGGCTACATTTGTGCAACTCCCACCATCAATGATAAGGCTGTAAACTTTGTTATTTACAAAGCACCGCGTATGAAACAAGTTCTCCCGTTGGTTGTTTTCTTCTTCCTTAACCTACACATTAAGGACTCGCCTTGCCATTAATGCTTCTCCTTCCACCGTATGTTGTCATTCATAGGCATCTTCAAGAGGTGGCATGTCATCTACCTCTTCTTCCTCTTCATCCGACTCAATCTCTCCTTAAGCGTTTATCACCATCACCTTTCTATTCAGACATTGGCTAGCTATGTGCCCCCTGTCTTGACATTTAAAACATTTAATGTCGCGGTTTCTATTTGTAGAAGATTCAAGGCTACCTTGTTTTGATGTCTCAGCTTGCTTGGCATCTTTAAAGGGTTCGTTCTTAAGTCTTGGCATAGGAAATTCATCCCGTTTAGGGGCTGGTTCCCATGAGTTTGGGGCAGCCACGTTCACTCCCCTCCTAGCCATGTTCATTCTTTTTAATTGTTGTTCCACTTTGATGGCTTGGTGCACCATATCCGTTAGCTCCACATAATGTTGCATCTCTACTACATCCCCTATTTCACGATTTAGACCATGCAAGAATCTTGCCATGGTTGCTTCATGGTTCTATTCTACATTTGCACGGATCATTGCAATTTCCATCTCTTTGTAGTAATCATCTACGCTCTTGGAACCTTGAGTTAGGCGTTGCAATTTGTTATACAATTCCCGGTGATAGTAGCTTGGAACAAAACACCGCCTCATGATGGTCTTCATCTCGTTCTATGTCTCAACCGAATGTTCTCGGTTTCTTCTTCTATCCTGCAACAAGTGGTCCCACCAAACGATATTGCAGCGAGTTTTACCTTTTTGATCTCCGAGTAGTTATGACAATCAAAGATCATCTCCATACATTTCTCCCACTCAAGATACACCTCAGGATCACTCTTCCTTTGGAAGGATGGAATCTTTACCTTAATGCTCCCCAAATCATCATCTTGCCTAGGTCTACCCATCCTAACTTCTCTATTCCCTCTCCCAAACCTGTCCCGATTCATTGGTGGATCCTCAAGCTCCTCTAACTCCTCTTCATCCTCAAACTCACCTCATCAATTCCCTGTTGGCACATGCCTATGTGGCTGCCTAATAAGTTTAGTTTGTTGCACTACTTCTTCCAGCTTATCCATCCTCTCATGAAGTTATTCTAATTCGACCCTCATCATCCGTTTTATCTCCCCTACCAACGCCTGCATTTGTAGATTTGGAATTTGTAGATTCGAATTGGCTTCTTGTTGAACCTCTTCAGTTCGACGTTCGCCTTAGTTGTGAGACATGATTAAAATCTGCAAAACAAAGTTAGAAACCTCACAAGCACTCCCTCACGTGTTTCACTCCCTTATGTGTTTCATTCTTTACACTCGTGTTTGTCACTCAATGGCTTTTACCCTTTATTGTTCTCACCACTTTTTTTTTTTTTTTTTTTTTTTTTTTTTTTTTTTTTTTTCTCCTTTTTTTTTTTTTTTTTTTTTTTTTTTTTTTTTTTCACTCGTTATGTCTTCTCTAGTTCTTAATCGGACTCAAAAGCACTCAAGTTTTTCAAGTAACAATCAAATTGATAACAACCGAACAAACCAGTAAAATTAAAGAAGGCTTTGAAACTAATGAAAACAAGTGAATTTTAGCCCGAAAAATGGTGTCGGCGGGCTATGCCCGGCCGCTATTGTAGAGCTCAAAAAGAGCTTTGATTTGATATATTATGGGCCCCGTAACGATTTCTGGATCAAAAGTTATAGCTATTCCAAGTCACAGTCGTCCGATTTCTTTTTTTTTTTCCTCGAATTCTCTCTTTTTAAAAACGTAAAGCTTTGGCTAATAAAAGAACCTAAATCAAGTTTTATTGAGACTAAGGCCTCGTTCACTTCGCTGATTCGAGTTTAGAATTCGAGTTAAGATGTGATTTTATGTGAGAGCTTTTTATTGTAGCAAAAAAGTTAGATGTGATTGTTTGTGAGAGCTTTTTACTGTAGAAAAACTCGAATCAACGAAGTGAACGGGGCCTAAGACTCCTTATAGAAGTTTTCGGCCAAAGATAACAAACAAGGAAGGAAAACCTAATTGAGTTCCAACTAGGTTTAGGAAAAGCTCTATCCTAAATTCGACCAAAGATAGCAACAAGGAAGGAAGGATTTAGAAGCTCTCTTAAATTCGGCCTCAAGAAACCCTATGAATTCTGTCTTTTTTTTTTTTTTTTTTTGAGAATAGGAAATTTGACCTCAACAAGGAATATAACCCCTAGAGGATAATTGACCTCAACAAGATGTTCGGCCTCAAGAAACCCTAGGAACCCGACTCTTTTTTTTTTTTTGAATAATTCAAAAATTCCAAAGCAAAGCAAGAACAAAAGGAAGAACTCAAAATTGAAACCTTAAGACCCTAAGAAAACGATTAAAGATAGTCAAACTTGCCTTGGAATCAAAGTTCTGATACCAACAGATATGAACCTCGCCAACGACGCGACGAGACCCAACACCAAACGCAGATCACAATCTCAAGATCTTCAAGACGCAAAATTGTTAAGTCTTAACCCGTTGTCTATCAAGACGCGAATCAAGAACTACGAAAGATGAAGAACACCACACCAAGATTATCAAGAATCACCCATTAATCTTAATGATAAGTTCAATTGTTAAACGCCACAAGAAAAATACATGATAAGTTCAAAAGTTCTCTCAAGAACCAAGAAGCACAAAATATGCAAAATCTCAATATGATTATTCAATGATTCATGAAAAACGAGTTTAACATCCCTATTTATATAGGATGCGATTTTAACCCGAAAAAAAAACTAAAAACGTTTAATCATCTAAGTCTAGGCCCAAACTCGGCATCCCTATTCTAATTCCAAATCCAATTCGGACCTATACAATTCCAAGGCCAATTCGGCCACAAATATTTCCCTAGGCCCAATTCGGCTAATTTAAAATGGACTCCCCTTGCTAAGCCCTTTGCCATTCCACTTAAATCTTCTAGAACCTTAATCATGGTGACTAGGTTCTCTTCATTTGGATTTGGTTTTGTAATGGGCCTCCAAGTGTTTGTCATGTCTCCAACTTATTGAACTAGCCCGTTCAATGAATCTCTTAAATGTTGTGCTAGTCTTTATGCTCCACCTATCGCATCACATGGCTTATCATACCATGCAATCTCGCAGGAGGAAACAATGTTGATATCAATACACGCTTAACCCTCACCCCCATTCCTTTTAGGAGCTTTAACTGTTATGGAAAAAAAAAAGGAAAAAATCAAGAGGACAATATTGTTAGATTCCTAGCAAAATTTTAAAACATAGCAAGCAAAATTTTAAAACACGGCAAGCTAAAGAAACCAGTATTGAAATGACCTTTTCTAAAAGGTTTGATTTTCAAATTTCCAGGTTCATGGGGATTCAAAGGCCTCCAAGGATCATCATCATCATCTAAGTCATCAAAGTCTCCAGGTTCCGAATGCCTATAATCCATATCAAATCCATTGTTGCTATCATTAAATGTATTGGGGGCAGGAGGATCAGGCCCAATGTCAGAGTGATTAACGTCAAAGCTGCAACCAACCAGTGGAGACGGATTGATATTAGCATCCTGGTTCTTTCTAACGGATAACTTATAAGAAGCTCCCCCAGAGTGTCTAGTAGGAGACTGGAAGCTTTTGTGAGCCATGCTTCCCCTATAAGCACTGTTCTTCCCTATACCATCTTTATCCCCATCCAAATACTCATGAACTGCGGTTGCATCACACGGATCTAATAAAATGAAGCCTCGAAAAAGATCACTGGTGGCCAACTGCAATCATATTTGATACAATCAATGAATAGAGAGCCTACAAACATCAAGCAAGTGATGAACCTTTTCAACAAATGGAAACAAGTATAGTACCAGATACGATTCCAATTCCCCGGCATCACCACCACTATCTAAGCAATCACCTTCAAACACAACTAGATTTGCTGGGGCCTTCACAAAACAATTCAAAGAAGCGTCTCTATCCAATGTAGAATCTAAGCAGATATTTGCTTCCACTGCAAAGGGATTCTTCTTAAGCTACTTATTTCACAATGAACTTCTCAACCTAAAATTATCAAGAGCAAAAACTACCTGGTATATCATCTAAGTCCCAGAACAAATCATTTTCTTCATCGGCAACTTTCTTAGAACCAGCTGCACTTTCTTGAGGCTGATCTGGTGTCCCCTCTAATTGTTCTTCCTGCCTACATTCCCCAAAATCAAAGAAAGATAAAAATTCAAAATTTATTAGGAACCCATTATTGGTTTTCTCAAATTACTAAAAAGCATCGAAATTTGGAAAGATATATACTTGGGCAAACTTATATGGTCCAAAGAACTTAAATGGCGACACATAATAAGTCACAAAAGCAAATCTTTGTTGCCCTAATTTTCTAGACCATATTGAAAAGAAAAAAGTATTTGTAACTAAAAGAACAAACCTTTTACGAGAAAGGAACTCTAAAGCACGCAAAACCAAGGAATAGAGATATTCGACCTTTCGACTATACACCTGAACGGAACCCTGAAGCAGTAAAGCAGCTACAAACCCAGAAAAGAAAATTTGAAAAATTATAAAAAAAAAATAAATTTTTTTTTCTAAATAAATAATAAATTGAACGGGCATAACGGAAAAGGCATACCTTCAGCGAAATTGGCCGGAATAGGAGCGTCGTTACCGGTTGGAATCTCGCCGGAGCAAATCTTTAACAAATAGTCCTTGAGTTTGTGCGCAAGATCTACTTCCCAATTCGACTTTAGGTCACGCTCTGCTGTAACCCTGTGGAATCCTCCTCCGCCGCTGCCGCCGCCATTGTTGTCTTCTTTACCGTTACTCATTCTGCGTCGAGCGAATTGGAGCGTATCGAATTGTGGCGGCGTTGGAGTCTCATTTGGAAACCCTAAGGTTTTGAGCTCTGGGAGGAAAGATTCGAGAGAAGGCGAAAAGTTTGGGGCTTTGATTGGTTGCCGAGAAAAATGAGAGGGAAAATGTGAGAAAATGGGAGAAAATGTGTGGGTAAGGTGGAGCTTTGTTTTCGGGGAGTGGGGGAGGAAAGAGACGAAAGAGGGAGTTCAAAACAGGTTTCGATTAATCCTTTCCCGCTTCCTTTCCCTGTGATCTCTTTGGCATAGCATTTTTTTATTTTTTACTTTTTCCCCTAATTTTTATATAATGTGCTGTTTTCCTTGGGCCGAATTTAGGCCCAAAGTCTGGGGTATCTGCTAATGATGGCCCATGGGCTTTATTGATTCACTTCACTTCTCGGCACACATAAACACCCAACTCTCAAAAAAAAAAAAAAAAAAAAGAGAGAGAGAAACTGAAATAGAGTGGTGCTAACATTAGTAATGGGAGTGAAAATTGGCGTTGGGAGTGTAATTAAGTAAGGTACATTTTGTTTTAAGGTTCATTTAGTTCGTTAATTTGAATTTTTAATTCAAATTGAGATATAATTTTATATTAAAATTTTTTACTGTAATAAAAAAATTAAATACGACTGTTTTTAAGAACTAACAAAACTTGAATCGGTAAAAATGAATAGGTCTTTATTATATTAGTGGATCTCATGAGTCATGATTATTATATTTTAGAGTAATTTATCCTCACCAAACAATATAAAATTTTTACATTTTTTAAATACTATCATATTTTTTTACCCTTCTTTTCTTCTATTATATATCGGCTTAAGATGCACCAAATTTAAAGAAAGAATAGGCTAAATTCTTAATTTTCTCCTTTTTCCCCCTAAATCAAAAGGGATATAGAGGACACAACGACATCAATAGTTCTATTTTTTCTGAATAAAAAGAATATCGGAAAAAAAATAAAAAAGAACAAATACATAATCGCTTGGTCAACTTTTATAATTTCTTCCAACAAATTAAAATAAGTCAATTAATTTTCTTCACCGCGCATTCACATATGCTTTGTAGAATCCAACTCCAACAATTCTTCTACTTATTCATTTCCCTTTGAGAAATATTCTTTCCCATTAATTAGCAACGAAAGCACAAATAATCAAATTCTCAATAAAGAAAGAAATAATTTAAAAAAAAAAACCATAACCAAAACGATGTCGTACGTTTCCTACACATTCAACATGCCAGAGACGTAAGGCACACCAGCGGCCTTAATCCACCAGTCCCCACGTATGAACCTCCCAGGAGTATACTCCACCGCGCGCTGAGCCGGAACCTTTTTGATGCCGCGCCACTTGACCCTTCCGTCGAGCTTAGACCCCGGTCCTCGGTTCAAAATCTCGGTGTAGAAGCAAGTATTCAAGGCGAAATCGCCGGCCCAAGGCAACCACCCTTCTGGTGCAATGACATCGTCAATGCGGGAATTCATGATGATCGTCCTCGAGAATTCCTTCCAGGGTCTCCCCAAGTACCCCTTGTTCTGGTCCTTGACGGGGAGGTAAGCCGGGTCGCCGGTGATGGTGCAGTTCTGGAGGACGAGGGCGGTCGCCTCGCGCCTTTCGGTGCGGCCCTGCGCGGTGACAATGCAGTTTTGGTTGTCCAGCGGCTTCCGGATCACCATCTTGCAGTTTTGGAAGACAGCCGCGGAGTCGCCGAAGATGAAGTCGATGGTGCCGGTGATGACGCAGTCGCGGTAGAATTGGCGGTGGGTGTGGGCGTAGAGGGTGTCTTGGTATCCGTCCATGTGACAGTTGTAGAAGATTGACATGTCAGACTGTACGCGAAGGGCCACAGCTTGGTGCTTCTGTGGCCCCGCCGAGTTCTCGAACCCGATGTCCTTCGCAATGAAGTTGCTTCCGATCACGGCTATAAGAACGCACATTATGTTAGTGAATTTAATTTAAAAACTTAAGGTAAACCAATAATAGTCTTATGTATTAATGCAAATAATAATGTTATGCATCACATCACAAGAATGTTGAATCAACTATCAACAATGTAGTACTAAAAAGAGAAAAATTTGACATGAAAGCCTTTGTTTAGGGAAATAAAAATACTTTCATTTGCATTGTTATCTTCGATTTACCGTTTTATATATCTCCTATAATTTGCCCTCTAAAAACAAGGAAATTTGACATGCGTATTTTCAACAGATTTGCATGTTATATATAATAGGATATAACTCTAATTAAACATACATACATACATACACATATACATATATAAAAAGAGATGTATATAATAGATGGATAGTATCTTCGAAAAAAACTTACAAACAGTGGCGGTCTTGAAAGTCTGGACACCATCAATGAAGTTCAAACTGCCGGTGATCCTTGTCTTAGTGGGGCCATCTCCGATGATCATAACATGAGTCATGCTCTTAGCAAACATGACTTGCTCCTTATAAACCCCTTGCTTAATATAAATCACAAACGTCTTGTTTCCCTTCTTCGGAATATCCTTCAAAGCCTCATTCACCGTCCTGTACTTGCCACTCCCGTCCTTCGCCACCACCACGTCTGCCTTTATCGTCTTCCCCGTCGCCTGGAGAAGCCTCCTCTTCCCGTCGCTCAGCCACGACAGCTCCGTGTCGTCGCCGTCCTCGCTCGAAAGGAGCCTCCTGCTCACGTTGAAAGGAAGGTTGTAGCTGGCCAAAATGGAGGAAATCTCCGTCACCATGGCGAGTCCGTTGCTGGTGAGCTCCTGGGAGCTTCTCAGCATCGCCTTCATCCTCAAGCCCGCCTCACCGGTCGTGTTTTCGAAGCCGTCGAGGCAGGTCTGCTCGTAGGTTATCGCCCCGCTGAGCCAGATTTTTAGGTCGTCGACATACTCGTCGAGCTTTTCGTATTCGAAGGGTCCAATTCTGTCGAAGGACTCCTTGAGGTCGTCGATGGCGTATTTTAGGAGCTCGTCGCAGTTGGAGAGGGCCTGGTTTGTTCGGGAGTCCTTGGCGAGCTCTTTCAATGTTGAGGAGTTTCTAATGGCGGCGGAGATGTGGTCGATGGCGACGTTGAAGGCCGCTTTGATGAGCTCCTTCGGGTCGCTGGTGTTGCCGGCGGCGGAGGTGAGGCTGTTTTCGCAGGTCTCCCTGTAGTCCGTTGGCTGGCAGATGGCCTGGATTCAGTGGCAAAAACTTTGGGATTATATTATTATTATTTTTTAAATAAAAATGAACGTAATTATATATTTCAATTATTGAGTGCGGATGCCGTTATAATTTTTCTTATAAAATGAGAACGTATCGTATTTATAAATAAGAACTTAAAATTTTAAAGAGTACAAGTGGGGACCACTTTAACATGTGGCTCCGCCACTACCTGAATGGCCTTAGTGGTGGTGGAGACGCTGGGAGGAGGGCTGGTGGGGGCGGCCGATTGGCTGTCGGATTCACTGCGGTTGAAACCGACCGCCACCGCCACCACCATCGCTACGAGGATCAATGCCGAGGTGCCGATTATGGCGATCTTCTTCTTCCTCTGGCCTCCATTGCTATTTTGTCCCCCAAACGGCATCTTGTCTGGAAGAAGATTGATGTTTCTAAGGTTTTTTTTTTTTTTTTTTTTTTGTATTATTTTGTTTTTCTTTTTGTTATATTTTTCGTTTTGCCTTGTCAAATATAAAGAGGTGAGAAGAGGTTGTGATGCCCCTTGGGCCAAGATAATGGGGGGTTTGTTTTGTTTAAATGGGGGGATGGATATATATCATTTGTGGAAGTGAAAGAGGAAGCCAAAAACAGAATGTGTTTTTTTTTTTTTTTTTTTTTTTTTTTTTTTTTTTTTTTTTTTTTTTTTTTTTTTTTTTTTTAAGAAAAGACAGTTAATTTCTGGTAAGAAAATGTGGGGTTGTGGTAAAGGACAAAACTAAAGGTCGTTAGTATTTTCCAAATTTGAGAGCACTTCAGCCAAAACTTCTTGTTGAGGCTTACAAATAGGTCTTCCATTCTAGACCATTTGTTTGGGTTATGACTTCTCTTCTCCCGCAACAGCACTGTTTATATTTAGTTCTGCCGAACTTTTTTGGTTTTTCATTACATATATATATATATATATATATATATACACACGTGGATGAAGCATTTTGGATTAGCTGATTTATTTTGAGATTAAACAATTGGCGGATATAAAAGCTTCTTCATTTGAGTCCATTTGGGCATGTGCAAGCATGCCTTTAGTTCTAGTGCACTGTTATTCCAAAAATATCTATGGAACTCAAAATATGTTCTATAAAAAAAGGTATTGTCTAGTATGACAATAAACGTTGCTTTTAAAAAAATAAAATAAAAAAAAAACAGCCTCCATTTGTTGAAGATGACTGTGAGTACGAGAACACCTATTATATATGACCATGATGATTAAGGGTATGTTATATAAGTTGAAATTGCATATAAAGATAAAATTCCTCCAATAATTATGACCCTTATAACACTTTGCCCCTTAAATTTTAAAACGTAACATCCGTTCTCCCTGAACTTTATTCCGTTAACAAGTTTTCTCCTTTTGTTACAATGAGTGACGGAATTCGCCATATGTCAGGCACATGACCCATCTGAGGAGAGTAATTCTAGACTAATTCTGAAACTAGATCTCTTGCACATAAAATTTCTCCACTGTCAAGCCACTTTCACAATTTGAAAAAAAAAAAAACACTCACTCTCTCTAATTTCTCTCTTTCTCGATTATCGCTCTATCTCTGAGAAATTTTAAAAAAATCCCAAACCTGAGAAATTAGATCTCCACCTGCAACATCGATGGGGTTGGGTTGCCGAGGCCGGATAGAGAGTCGAGATGGGGCTGGAGAGAGAGAAGAGCAGGGTTGGGCGCAACGGTGGTGCGTCGCAGGAGGGCTAGGTTTGCCGGGGTTGGAGAAGGAGGAGCACGGGTCGCGTGACGATGGTGGGTCACGGCGTGTGATGGATTTGGGTCACCGAGGCTGAAGAGGGAGGAGGCACAGTGGGTTGGTGAGACGATGACGGCTGGGCTTGCCGGATAGAGAAGAGGAGAAGAAGAAGGCGCCTCGTGTTAGAAATTAGAAATTGGAAAAAATGGAAATTAGAAAGAAAGAAAGTCAGAGAGAGATAGACGAGAGAGAGAGAGGGGAAGAGATGATTTTCTTTTGTTTTTTCTTATTATTTTTTTATATTTTCAGAGGATATAAGTGTAATTACACTTTTAATTTTCACTAAATAAGTGACACGTGCAATTTCCGTCACTCGTTGCAACAGAAGGGAAAAACTTGTTAACGGAATAAAGTTTGGAAAGAGCGGATGTTACGTTTTAAAATTCGAAGGACAAAGTATTATAAGAATTATAATTCGGAGAGAATTTTTAAAATTAATCCAAGATGATAATATATACTGCTTATTCTTTGATTCATTAAAAAAAAAAAATTTGGGTTTCTCTATGCGTTCCATCTTCCATACTCTTTATTGTGTAGCCAGTAGCCATCGCCCAGGAGAAGGCCAAACACGCTTTACTTTTTTAACCGTCTTCTTTCATTCTAACCCTTCTCTTTCTCCAAATTATAAAGCCTGATTTGAACAACCACTCTTGCAATTTTTTTTTTTTTAAACCCGGGTTGGCGATAATCTAACTCTTAATACAAGCAACAAGAAAACGAGAATTATTATTTCAAAGGGTAACATATAAATTGAAAGTAAATAAATCTGATGATAAACATTTTATTCTGAACATGCTCATTATTTCTCTGGTTACATTTACCAGCATCATGCCAACAACATTTTCTCTAGCTTATCCTCTCTCCCTCTCACTCCTCTGCTTTATTTATTTTTTTGAAATCTGTCCTCTGTTTTATTGTTACAGAGATATGAGATTATTTTCTCTTTTATCTTCAATCCCAAGATCTCAAAGCTTAGCCCTCCTAAGTTCTAACTTGGCAATAGTACCCAAATGAACTTCATCCGGACCATCTGCGATTCGCAATGTTCTTGCGGTCGCCCAAAGATGTGCAAGAGCAGTGTCTGAGGATAAGCCTGCAGCACCATGCACTTGCATTGCCCTGTCAAGCACCTTCAGCGCCATGTTTGGAGCTGCCACCTGCTCCACAGATCACCAATTCAGTTCGCAAGAAATATGCAATTCATATATTTAATATGAAGTAGAACAGAGAATCAGAAGCTAGTCCATGCAACTTATAAAAATGGTACAATTTAGCTCAGCTCCAAAACGAGATTTACCTTGGCCATTGCTATTGTCCCCCGGGCTCTTTTATTTCCTAGTCTATCAAGCTGGTCAGCTGCTTCGAGAACCAACAATCTAGCCTTCTCAAGCTCTATACGACACTGAACGACAGAAGGGCGATTTAAGAAGAAATACCATCACCATGTGTTGTGAAGGTAATTAAAGTACAGTTAAATGGTTAGGCATACTGGAAGATTCGATTTAAATAAAATTTCAAGATTATTACTTCATTGGAATGACAGGTAACAAAAATCTGAAAGGTTGCGCAGTCAAGTTACCACTAAGATTAACCAGTTAGTCTATAGTTAATATTACAAAGTTTAAGATTCTTACTACCCTCAAAGGATTCTTAATGAATCTAAGAACATAAAATTCCTCTTGTGCTATCACATGGTACTAAATTGATATACCTTCGCCAAATCTGAAAGGAAAGAACCTTGCTCAGCAATCAACTTCCCAAAGACTCTTCTACTAAGAGCCCTTTGAACCATCATCTGCATGCCACGCTCAGCAGCACCTATCAACCTCATGCAATGATGCAACCTTCCTGGACCGAGCCTACCCTAAAAAGATGTAAATTCAAGACAAAAAGTGAGAAGTATGTTTCACTCCACCAAGTATCTGGAAGAAAAACATCATCAATTATGACGCAGCCAGTCACAAAAGTCATGGATAACTTATAAATAAAAATGATTTTCAATGTCCATTTAGACAATCCTCAGAATGAAATACTTTCGCTCCGTGGAAAACTTTTAGCAAACTTTTTATAACTATAGGAAAGTTCTTGGGATACAAAAACACAATATGGAAAATAACAATAAATATAAAGTTAATAAACCAATATACAATATCTATTCGAAAAATACAATAAGAATTTTGGAGCTAATTAAAGTCCTCAATCACATG